GCTGAGCAGCCTCTTCTTTTTGTCGCTAAGGCTGAGACTCCGCGCCAATTTCGGAACCGGAATGCACCACGCCGTGGACTGCGCCGATTTCCCTTTCACCGATCTTGAACGCCCGCTACAATTTGGCTTGCTATTATTATTATTATTATTATTACCTTCCATAATCACCACCCCAATGTGACCATTACTCGTTGCAGTCCCAATTGTTCTTCCATGCTCGCTATCGAAGCTCTCGCGAAACAGCTCAATTAGCAGTTTCTTCGTTCCTTCCGGCGATGGCTCCACCGCCGGCGTCTCGATGGCGTTTGGACGCCATATCGGAGTGCTGCTGCACGACGGCGTGTTATCTGCTCGTAAACAACAAGCCAAGATCTGAATTGTTGAAGATTGTTGGTATGAATCTTACAATAGCTTATACTAAAAATGACAGTCGATGATTATTAATATAAATTTCATAGAAATCGAACTCATCCAAGTTTTTAAAATTCTAACCTCCATTAACGCTGAAGAAATCATCGTTATCAGAATCCAACCAAGCCTGAGAATCGAAGAACATCTCATCGCCCTTACCTGCATTAATTTTAATCCATATTTCAAAATCACTTAAAATCAAGAACAAAATTGCATTAATCACTTAAAATCAAGAACAAAAATCAAAGACGGGGCTGGAATCGAACCGAATTCAGGCGAGCTGGGAAGATGAGAAGACGGTGGACTGGAACAGAGCCTGCCGTTGGCTTGGTCGAGCTCAGTCGGCATCGGCACACGGACATTGACGAGCGCACCGGAACCGACCGACCACTTGAATTTAGGGTCAGATTTTTGGTCTCGACGAATAAGAACACAATTCCCCATTTTTGGTCGCCAGAAACTGTCCCCTACCGATCGTCTAACATGGCGATGACAAGAGGAACACAGAAATTTGTTCAAGAAAGGGAAAGGATCTGGCGATATGGGTCAGGTCCTGTTGGCAGGGAGCTGTTGATTGGTCTTCAAAGTGAAGTAATGGCATTTACTGGGAGTGGGGCCTTTGTATATATATATATATTTATGCAATAAAAGGATGCTTTAGGGGCTGTAAAATTTCGACAATATATTTATATATTAATTAAATTTATATAATATTCTATTATCATTAAATATTGTTTTTTATTTTTATTTCAGAACACAATTGTATGGTTGATAGTATTTATGTTAAATAGAAATACATTAAAAAAACTTAGAGAAATGATATCAATTTGTGATATATTTATTTATTTAATATTGGATTATCAATGTTGAAAAATTAAAATAAATTGAGATATGTTATTACTATTGGATGATAAAAGTCCCACATTGGCTAATTTAGAGAATGATCATGGGTTTATTGGATGATAAAAGTCCCACATTGGCTAATTTAGAGAATGATCATACGTTTATAAATGAGAAATACTAATTCCATTGGTATGAGGCCTTTTGGGAATCCCAAAACAAAGCTCATGAGAGCTTAATACTTAAAGTGGACAGTATCATACCATTGTGTATTTTGTCTTAAAATATCTTTAAACTTTTAAACTTATTAAATAACTCTAAAAAACACTATTATCATTAATTTTGGAGGAACACTGTTAATTTAGTAGACGACTTTGCTCCGAATCCAAGACAGCATCATTGCTTAGTCTAATCAAAATTTTCTTACCCACTTTACCTTTTCACCTCACATATTACTGTTGCTTTTTCTACACTCTGATTTTTTACAGCACATGGATTCAACTTTGGAGGATTATGTAATAAACTATTGGGCAAACCAGTGAGAAGTTAAGGCATATGTACTATTAAAGATTCAAATTTTCGTACTAATATAACATACAGAAACTAATATTTATTAATGAATAAGATTGTCACATGATACACCATGTGATCAAGTCGCCAAAGATTTTTTTGTCGTGTCAAAGTCTCACATAGTTATGGTTTGACAAACAGACGAATAAGTAAAAGGTTAAAGTGCACATACATACCCACAAGTTAAAAGTTGAGATTCTTGCATCCCAAATAGCGTCGAACCAAAAAAAATTTACCAGACGAATTATAACACTACTATGTGTGCAGATGCCAAATACTCTGAAATGTCATAGTATTTGGTTTGTCATTATGAAAGGGAGTACAATGCTTTAACATGCGCAAATAAGTGAATCGTTACGTATTAACATTTAACCAACCGGTAAAATGAAGAGTAAATACTAATTATGACATGTGAAAAATGGGGAAGTGGAGGGTTATTTGAAGGTAAAAAGAGGATGTTACAAAGGAATCCACTGTTTAAATTTACTACTCATGGTTTAACATGAGTGATAATCAGGCCATGGTCCTACCAAAAGAAAGACAAATCTATTACATAAACCAATAGTAAAAAAATGATTTAAACATTCTTCTAAAAACCTCATCAATTGCATTTACATACCTTGAATTTCACGTCTTACAAATGCAAGCGCAAGCTATAGCATTTAAAGAGTAGGAGATTCCATCTCACACACGCCATTGGCCCGTCAATCTTCACTACCAACAGGGGCAAACCAAGTGGCTGTCTATATATGTCCAAGCCATTCCTCCACAAAAAAAATATCCAATACCATCATAATCAAAATTAGCTAAGTTATAAACACAATATAATAAAATAACATCTCATTGAATCAACCAAATTATGCTCCGTGTGTCTCTACTTTGTCTACAACCCAAAAACGTTTGTACCAATAGAACTCATATACCATGGATCTCTAGCTTTCCTAGCCCGGGAAAGAATTTATTTACACCGAACATCAATATACGATGGAACTGTAATTTACCTGTCTTCCTCGCTCGGTCACTCTCTATGAAGTCTCAACTATCAAAGAACGATTTCATACATGTCACTTCAAGGGCCTCAAGGGAACCACCACATTAAAAACAAGCCTCCATAATAAATGCAGAGGAGGTTTCAACCAAAAAGATAAATAAACATTCCCATTTTCCATTGTAAATTGTAAGGCATCCCGAAACTACCAAGGGCTCAATAATTCACCTGTTCCACCAGCCATAGTACGGCGAGTCGGATTGTAATGAATGCTGGGATAAGGAGGAAAGCACAGTTGCCGTCCATCAGAAATAACTCAGGAACATGTGGGCATCATCCTTGAAGTTAAATGAGCTTTGACCATCAAATGAATGAGTAATGGCTTCCCACAAAATGTGTAATCCATAAGGTTACACTTGAATAAATCACATCATATGAGTTTCCACCGACGAGTAACCTGCATATACAAACACTTGACAAACGAAGTTAAACGAACTAGAACTGTTTTCAGAATTGTGTCAATTGAGAAAGGCAACTAAGATAAGAATCCTTCCAGAAAATGCAAGAAACCTGCCGGCAGCAGACACGAGAGCAATTCAAGGTTAACAATGACTGTCACTGCTAACAGAAAAAATATAACAGTCCAAGCTCACCGCTAGAAAATATTGTCCTTTTTGAACTTTCTCTTTCAAACTTCTCCTCAAGGTTTTTAAAACGCGTCTACTAGGAGAGGTTTCCACACCCTTATAAAGAATATTTTGTTCCCCTCTCCAACCGGTGGGATCTCACAAAAAAACAGGAGCAATTATCGTTAATAATGAAAACATTGCCTTCCCTAAAACAATAAAAACCAACATCATGATAAATTATTGAAGTTAATTCTAGATGAAAATGAATAATGGAAAGAGATGGAAACAATATATTCTTAGATATTTATCAAATAAAATTGGGCCACGATTTCTCTATCTTCGAGTGAAAAGAAAATAAATAGAGCAAAAATGAGATGGACAGGCAAGTGCCAACTGCCATGAGTGCAGCCGTTCTACAGGAAAAAGAAAATTGTCATTAAGGATAAAGAAAATTCAGAAGCTCTCCCAAGAGTCAAGAACAAAGGCACCCTAGAAAGCTTTGAACACAGCTATCAGCATGGCTGCTACAATCATACAGTCAACAATTAGAAGTACAAAATCTCATTGCAGCTTTCAAAGTTCATTAGCATCAGATCCAGTCTGTTACTCTAGCCTTATCAGCAGGCTAAGAGCTATTATCCTTAGTCAACAAAAGCCAGAAGGATAGGTACAGCTTCAAGTCAAATTACTCATACGAGTCTAGAACAGATAAAAGAGAGATAATTTTGGTCTAGTTCAAAGTATATATAGAAAAAAACGTTTTCTCATGATGGCAATTTAATGCACTCAATAATAGAATGGTGTAACGGGACCATTGATGAGAGTTAAGAGCTCATCAGTTATATATTCAGCTTCCACCATGATTGATCAACCAGATTGAGGAATAGGAACAGTATATGCCCAGTTCTTTATTCAAGAATGTCCGGAAGTGGAATCTTCACAAGAGTACATACTTATATTCCCAATGATTCAATGGTAAGAAATTGAAGAGGCCTAACTAAAATTGTGACAGTTCAAGCCTACTGCTATCAGATATTGTCTTTTTTGAGCTTTCCCAGTCAGGATTCTCCTCAAGGTTTTCAAAATGTATCTACTAGGGAGAAGTTTCCACATTCTTATAAAGAATGTTTTGTTCTCCTCAACCGATGTGAGGATCTCACAATCCACCCCCTTCAGGGCCCAACATCCTCACTAGCACTCATTCCCTTCTCCAACGATGTGGGCACCTAATCCACCTCCCTTCGAGACCCAACGTCCTTGCTGACACACCGCCTCGTGTCCACCTCTTACAGAACTCAGCCTTCTCGCTGGCACATCGCCCGTGTCTGCCTTTGATACAATTTGTAATAGCTCAAACTCACTGCTAGTAAATATTGTCCGTTTTGGCCCGTTACGTATCGCCGTCAGCCTCATGGTTTTAAAACACGTCTGCGTTTCCACACACTTATAAGAAATGTTTTGTTCCTCTCTCCAACCGACGTGGGATCTCACAAAAATCCAAACACACTCAATGTGGGAAGAATTCCATTAGTACAGGAGTACCTACTACCTTTGTTCACACCATGTTTTTGCCTTCGTAAATAATTATTTAATCTAGTGTACAAACGTGGCGTGCAGTGAATGAATGGAGTATTCATGCTCCAGTAGCAGCAGAAATTTTCCACCGGCCAGTATCAAACAAGGCAATCATTTTAACTGCAATCCAAAACGAAATTGAACTGAACAGATGGGAACTTTACCATGCTCACCTGAAATGAATGGCTATATTTGTTTGGTGATTAAAAATGTAAAAGATCTTGAACATATAAACAAAGATAAGAGCTCCATAGGTACAAAAATTTTTGTGCAGAATCCAAGTAGAGTGAACAAAATCAAGAGAACAAGATGCTTCTAAAACTAGCATAATACAAAGGGAAAATCAAAGCACAATGGTTATGAACATGCCCACCGTATATTTGTATAGTCCATTCCTAAATTAAAATTCATGGTGGGGACAGGTGAAGTGGAAACTAACTTCAAACATCAAGGCAACAAACAGAGTGTCTAATTTGTTACAGTACAGAAACCAAATGCAACAAGCATAAACTTCCAATCCGGATTCCGGTCAGCAATTTTTGTTTGTTTGTTTATTTGTATTACTTACGGCATTAGATACGTCGTAGAATCCGAAAGTTAAATCAAAACCCTAGAAGTTGAGACGTCGAATCGTGCATCTCCCAGAGTCCAACGGGAAATTCAGAACGGAGAATGCTGGAAAGAATCAAACGCATGCAGATACAGATACTGTTAGGAACATAACTTGTGAGCCCTATGTAGCTAAAAGCAGAAGAACAATGGCGGAAAAGAAAGAAAAGGAAAGAGAAGAACCAGTCGGACTGAGAGAGAGCTTTCTTTCTCCTTTTCCCCAACTTTCGATCGGATTTGGATCGTTAACTCAAGCAGAGCTGCCGCTTTGCTCCGCGCCAAATTGGGACAATTTTGCTATTTTGTATATTTGCTCCATAAATTACTTTTCCTAATAAATTTCTAAAATATAAAAAATATAAACTAACTAAATCTCGAAAATCTTAACTCATTAACTTATTAATCAAATCATAAAATATACAAATATTGAGATATATTTTATAATTAATTATTATAATTATTCTCCAAATATTATATTTTAATAAAACCAATTTAAAGGTTTCACCTTTGATTTTTTAAAAAATTAGTCAAATTCTGGAAAACATAAATAAAAAATGGATAATAAAATATAAAAACTTCAGGGGGAGATAACGGTCTCTAAAGTTAATTTTTAAAAATAAAAACAAAAAAAATCCAAAACTAAATTTATAATTTTAAAACTATAAGTGCGAAATAAATAAACTTCAAAACTTAAATACCAAATCTATACTAAATAAATCATAACGGAAAATTGTATTAGATATGAAATTCATCTTAACCCGATCATAAAAATTGTTGGATTTCCTTAGTTGGAGTTGTTCGGATCATCTATTCATATTTTTTTTTATTAATAAAAGTAAAATGTTAGAATATCTATTTATTTAATTAATAATTACACATCACTATCAATATATATTTGAAAAAAAATTAAGTTAAAAAATAAATTCTAAACATATAGATTTCAAATCTAAAACAGGTAAGATTGGTTTGGGTTTGGTGGATCAAAATTTCCAATTATTGAGTTTTTTTTTAACACCTATGGTCTTGTTATTTAGCATAGGGTGTGCTAAATCAGCTGATTTGGAACTGCCATCATTAGTTGGGCAGTCGTTATCAAAGGCTTTTCTATTTAAAGGCTTCTGTGCAGAATATGAACATCGATGATACTTGTAATTTCTCACAAATGGATGAAAGATTTCACTTCACAGAAAGAAAAAAAAAATGGCATGTAATTGTGACAATGCATCTTAATTTTGTTTGTTTTTCTATTAATCAACATCTTATCTTTTATATAACCATTTTCAAGAACAGTTTTAATTTGTGACCCGATCCATATTCAAAATTTTCAAATTGTAGAACATTGATACTTACTTTCCTCATTTGAAATTGCAAAATGTAAAATAAGAACAAATTATAGCATAAAGATGAGAGAAGAAAAATAGCAATTACAAAATCGAAAGGGGAGAAAAGAAGAAACCCTATCTCCATGGACAATTTTGTGCCCAATCTAATCTTTCTTGGCGTAAAAATTGATTGGCTCCTGCGAGAGTACATGATGCTCGCAATTACAGCAGCAGCTTGACTGGTACAACAATGGCGGCCATGTTCATAAATCACGATCATTTCTTACGATCCCATCCTGTCGAAACTCTCTGACACTGTTTTCATTCTAGGCCGGAGTTCCGGGTCGCTCTCTGTACAAGCGAGCGCCACGTGGAATACGGCGAGGACCTCTTTCTTGGCATGTACTTCTTGTAGCAGAGCAGGGTCAACCAAATCCGACAATGGCTTTGCTTCTTCAAATCCTTTTCTGACCCATCTCACCAAATCTGGAATCTCCAAAGAAGTCGACGTGTTGGGAGAAAGCTCCGGTGACTTTCCGGTGAGCAATTCGAGGACCATGACTCCGAAGGAATAAACGTCCCATTTTTGGGTGGGACGACCGCCAGGGGTACGGGCCTCCGGCGCGCAGTAGTTGTTGGTGCGTTCGGTTTGGACGGACTTGAGGTATGAGAAGGCGCCGCCAATGAGGCCGCCGGAGGAGGAGGGGTTGTCGCCGGTGATGCTGATCAAACGGTTGAGGCCGAAGTCAGAGATGTGGGGCTGGAAATCGTTGTCGAGGAGAATGTTGGAGGGCTTGATGTCGCCATGGACGAATTTTCTTGGACTGCATTCGTGTAGATAAGCCAACCCCCTTGCGGTTCCCTTGGCAATTCTCAGTCTCGTTGACCATGAAAGCACTGAAGATGGCTGCCCGTTTCTCCCTGTTTCGTTGACAACGTCAGTGCGACATCAGAAAGATATATGCATCACACCAATTAGGTTTCACCAATTGTTTTCAATTTTCATTTGAACTTTGGTAAAACCCAGCTAAGTTGCATAACCTAAAAGACATAAACTAAGTTATTATGAGAGTTATTTTCACTCATCCATCATCCTTAATACCCTTATTAAGAGGGGGTGGGGAGGTAATTATTGGTATAGGTAAGAGTTATTTCCATTTTGAGCTTCCACCCTAAAAGGCTGTTAGGTAAAGATTTTCACACCCTTTAAATAGAGTTTTGTTATCCTCTCCAATAGATGTGTGGGATGTGGGAGATCTCACAATCCACCTCCTTAGGGATGAGGTCTTCATTGGCACTAGCCAGAAGTCCACACCCTTGTAAATATTACTTTATTCCCCTCTTCAACCTTGCTGACACTCATTCGGTGTTTAGCTCCTATGCCATTTGTAACAACCGAAATCCATGAGCACTCGTCCACTGTTTTGGCTCCTAATATCATTTGTAACATCTAAACCCACACTCCAATCCATAGACGGTTCCACCAAGAGTCTCTGGCTAGTAAGAAGTTTCCTTCAATCTACGTGTATCCTATGGACTGTTACACAAAAAATGGGAATGGGTAAGGAGCAGCGCCTGCAATTCAGGGCTGCGTGGAAAGTGGAGTGAGGGCGGGGGATAGGGACAGCCATCGTTGGATCCCACGCTTGGCAATGGCATTAGGCAACCAACCATTATATGCCCAAAACTAAAAAACAAATATCCTATACGGGAATTTTCTCCCCCACTCCAACCAGATAAAAGTTAAAAAGAGCTTTGCATTAATTATGTCTACGCCGTCGAGAGATCATCGATGAAGGGCCCAAAATCATCAAACAGTAGGCCGGGTGGAACCCACGTTTCAAAAAGCTATCACGGGTAGGAGAGTTAGTTGACTAATGTAATAACTACTGGTATTTTGTGTTGTAGAGAGCTAAATTTCAGCAATGTGATCATGAAGAGTGAAATAAAATTAATCCCAAAAGAGAAAGGCAAGATTGAGGGAGGAGTTTTGGGTCGCCGTTCAACCAGCAGATTCAGATAAGAACAGAGCAATCAGTAATGAAGTGCAAAGGAATTATGGGGACTAACCGTGAAGTGCAGAGGCCAAGTTTCCATTGGAGATAAAATCACTGATCAGAAGCTTCTCATCCGGCGCCCAATAATAAGCTCTCAGTTTCACGATATTGGGATGCTTTACCCTTCCAATGGCCTGCACCTCCGCCACGAACTCTTTATACCTCTGTTCTCCGCCTTCGCCCACCCGCCGTACGGCCACCGGAATCCCATTTCCAAGGACCACTTTGTACACAATCCCTAGTCCACTCTTTCCCAGCACATAGGCTGATGCTCTCAGTAGCTCGTCGAGCTCGAACGTAAAGCCTTTGTCTATGGCCACAAGCCCTCCTTCTTCTTTGCTTCTGTCACTGTTCTCCGGCTCCTCCATTTCGGACTCCTCATTCTTATCTTGTCCATTCATACAAGGAAAACTGCAGAGATCTTTCTGGTTCCCACCGAATTTTCTTTTGGCCGTACAGCTACAGCCGTTCGAATCGTCCTTCCTTCGCCAATATATGTATACTATTATCAGACCGATAAACGCTACTCCGGCGGCGTCGGCGGCTGAGATGAGAACGATTAGTCCGGCGCTCAATCCTTTTCTAGGAGCAGTGTAAGATGGCTTAGTATCCGGATTACCCGGTGAGCCACGTTCTGAATTCCCACAAGATTTCTGAAGAGGAAATCCGCACAAGTCAGGATTATTGAGAAATGCAGTCGGTCCCTGATTCGCGAAGGAACCCGTCTGTGGTATGCTTCCGCTCAGATTGTTGCTCCGAAGGTCGAAACTCACAGTCACCGGCAAATCTCCAAGAGTCTTCGGAATTTTACCCGATAAATGATTGAAGGACAGGTTCAGCGTACCGGTTAGTGTCTTCAGTTCCCCCAAATCCTCCGGAATCGATCCACTGAAATCGTTGGATGAGAGATCGAGTTGAAGTAAATTATCCATCCTTGACCACATACCAGACGGGATTTCTCCGTCAAATTGATTTCTGGCGAGTATTAAATGCTGCAACTGTTTACAATTCTTCAATTCGTCGGGAATTGGTCCGGCGAGAGAATTATTGGAGAGATCGAGGTTCTGAAGCCTCGGAATGTTGCAGATCGAAGGGGGAAAAGAACCAGATAGATTATTGCTATAGAGAAATAAGCTATGCAATGAGGTAGCATTAAACAACTGCTCAGGTATGGAGCCGTAGAAATTATTGTTATGGAGGTTCAATCGCCGGAGATAGACAAGCGACCCAAGCTCAGAAGGAATATAGCCATGGAGATTCTTACCAGAGAGAGCAATCCCAACGACACGCGGGTCGCCAGAAACATTCATACAAGAAATGCCAGACCATCGACAAGGCGTAGAGTCATCCTCGTTCCAATCGGAGAAAACAGAGGAATCAGGCGACTGGTCGACCGCCGACTTGAGAGAAAGAAGCGAGAGACCGTCCGGCGAGAGGGAAAATGCCCTAAAAGAGACCTGAAAGTGCAAAAACAAAACCAAATCGAGGACAAGAAACAGCAGATTATTCTCCATCATCACCACTGTCGTTCTCCCTCTAGAAAGAGGCAGCAACGGCGACCGGCGGCGAAGGAAGCAGTAACCAGAAAAAAAGGAACGGATATGGGGAAGAAGATCGGAGGTGAGAGTGGAGGTTGAGTAGTAGAGTGAAGAAGAGAAAACTAGAAATGTTGTTGAGGAAGAGCAGAGGTGGTTGGCTATGGATGTCTATTAAAGGGGAGAGAGAGAGAGAGAGAGAGAGAGAGAGAGAGAGAGATTTTGATGGCTGCCATCTTCCTCCCGCCATCTACAAATAAACAAGAGGATAAACTAACGCAGAAAATTACTCTTTTCATCTCTATCATTTCATTTCAACCTAATTTTAATTATTAATAAAATTAACTTTTAACTTACGGAAAATATTTATCACCATTTGAGATTTAATAAAATTATTTTAACCAAAAAATGTCAATTTACCAAATACTCTTCAATTGTATTGTAAATGTTTTACGCTAAATCCACCAATCAAATATTAAATTATATTAATATTGGTTAGAAATCACGACTATCCAAGATATGATATTTATAATTCTATGATCATTTTTAAAATTAGTCAATGTAGACTTCCTCCCAACAATCATCACTAATCTTCCCCATAATCGAGGCTCGACTCATAATCAACTCCTAAACTAAGAGCATAACTCTGATCATGACTCTCCATAATATTATTATATTATCCAATTTTAGCATAAGTTCTTGTAAAAAGCTCTTGTAGGTTTGTTTTAAGCTTCCCTAAAAAAGAATCTCGTACCAATGGAGACATGATTGTTCCCAAAATTAGCCAATTATTACTCTCTTCCAACTATTTTCAACCATATCTATTTATTTATTTTCAAACATCTAATTAAAATTTGCAAATTCAACCATAAAAAAAAACAAAATTAAATAAAATTAAATAAAATTATAGTAAATTTATGTTAATTATGTTGAACCAAAACTAATAGAGGTGATCTAATTATTAAATTAATGGATGAATTTCTGATAAATCTAATTACAGTTTGGCCTAAAATAATTATTATAAAAGAAAAGGAGACAATTTTATTTGAACAAAAAGGATTAAGGGAAGTAGAAGAAAAGCAAAGGGGAGAGAGATGCTTTATGAATGTCGGCCTTTTTATCATTATCTTTAGGCATAATGTTGGATGTTTCGTGTCCTAATAAGCCGAAATTCTAGAAATAGCAATCCAACAAAAAAAATTAAATTAAATTAAATTAAATTAAAAAAATTAAATTAAATTACAAGTTTACTCCCTCAATTTTCAAATATTTATTTATTTGGTCCTTGACATAAAATTCACTCATCCACTTAATACAAAATTGAAAATTTTGGATAATATTTAACATAAAATTTATATTTATATTTAAATTAGTTTTTAAAAAATTATAAATATGTGGAGAAAAATATTTTAAACATTTTAAAACAAGTAATTTTTTTTTTTTTTTTTTTAATCTACGAATATGGATGGAGTCCCTTGGAATGGGATTTATTTCAATTCCCAAGGGTGGATTTATTGCATGCATTAATAATTTGAAAACATTTATCAATTTATTATCATTTAACTAAATTTACGAAGAATCTATGCAGACAGGGATGTAGCTAATATAAATATTAATTTTCTAAAAAATAGAATCACTCTTGAAATATATAGATGAAATTAATACAAAATCGAAATTAAAATTGATCATAATTAAAAATAATCAGGTACGTGAGTGAGCACAGTAAGAAAATAGACAACATGAGAATCAACCATCTATTAAAGGCAATCATTATTCTTCAGCTAACAATAATAAATATCTAACGTTCCACAATCACTCCTCCATTTCAGACCTTTAATTGCAGCCTCTCGTGTGGGCCACTTGTTATATATATATATATATATAAAAGAAGCACTTGTATTAAATGCATTATGATATGGTTGAGTGGGAAGATGTAGAGGATGATTGTATCTTATTCACAATCATGAAATCATGCTTAGAAGCTAAATAACAAACAAATATGCTCTATTTTATACCCTCTACACTCCCAACTTTGTTTTTAGCTTATTCTAATATCGATCTCTTTTTAATATTATTAACTAAATTAAATATATGTATTCACGATTTGATACGATAGGGAACAAAATATTTTTTATAAGGGTATAGAAACCTCTCCTTAACAAAAGTGTTTTAACATTTTAAGGGGAAGTTTGAAAGAAAAATTAAAAAAAAAAAAGACAATATTTGCTAGTGACGAACTTGAGTTATTATAAATGATATCAAAACTAGACACCAAACGATGTGCCATCGAAGATACTGAACCTTGAAGAGAGATGACACTGAATGGTGTGCCAATAAGAACGCTAAGCCCCAAATGAGGGTGAATTGTGAAATCCCACATCAATTCCCAAATGAGGGGAAGTATGAAAAGAAAAATTCAAAAAGACAAAATCTACTAGAGGTGAGCTTAAGTTGTTGAAAATGGTATCAAAGCCCGACACCAAACGATGTGCCAGCGAAAATGCTGAGCCTCGACACGGGAGGACACCGATTGGTGTGCCAACAAGGACGCTGAGCCCCAAATGATGGTGGATTGTCAAATTCCACATCAATTGGAGGGAGAACAAAATATTATGGAAACTTATCACAATCACCTCAAGGGGAGGCTCAAAGAAGACAACATCAGCTAATAGTAGGCTTGGACTACTACATATTCGATTTCTCGCAGTTTGAATTTTTAAATCTTAAATACGTACTAAACACGGATTAAAAACTTTAAATAGTGCTTAAAACATGCTTTATTTGCCATGGTTAAACCCAATATCACCTGAAGACCTAGTTTTAACCATTTCAAAATTACTTCCAAAATGCCTAATTCATTTAGTAATAAACAAATGCCACGACAAATGTTCGAGTCTCCTTATACCACAAGTTCGTGAACAAAATACTAACAATAATAATTAATTAATCACTGTAATTATTCGGAATATGTCTTTAATTGTTTCTGAAGCTCACCTATTAATGAATCATTCACATAATTTAATTAATGAAACTATTGTTGCCACAGCGGTAACAAATTATTACAGTTTTACAACAAAAGAGGATCAAATATAAACAGACATTTGCAAATCCAATGCATAGCAACATTGAAGAATAATAATTTAGTTCAACCTAACATATAAAAACAAGCAACAGAATTAGGGATAATAAAATAATATAGAAGGTAGAATTAGAAGTTTAATTTTTACATTGTGTATTGCTTAATCTAAACTTGAATGATTATAGTTGGAGTAGTTGGAAAGGTTGGGTCTACAATTTATGTAATTTATTACCCATGTCTTTCTTCTTTCATTTATAAGAGGCTGGTCAGCATGCATGTGATTTTACATTAAAACATCTATATACTCCTTAATGGGGCATTCCCCAAATCATATAAACACTCGCAATTCCTTTTATCCAACATAGTAATACCATTTATTCAACACTTCCTCTCTAAATTAATGTTTTAAACAATCATTCCAGCTATTTGAGTAAACCATATTTCAAAGAACTAATCTTCTCAAAATATCATCTAAAATATGGGTCATTATCAACCTTGCAAAAAAAAAAGTTGTGTATCCATTCTAAAGTACGAAAAAAAATCTAAGTTCTCAGCAAGTACGGTAGCAAAACTGATTATAAAAGAGGGTACATTAGCTATATTAAATGGACTTGTTGAGAATGATTCTTGATCTAGTTCATGGCTTATTAGAAGTAGAAAGTGCTCTGTTGGGATTGAGATCATCACGGACAGAAAAAGATTGCAGTCGATTTGGTAATGATCGAGTGACATTACTTTTTCGGCTCGAACGATTCCTAAAGATGATACAAAATGGATCTTGTTCTATCGTTGATCAGAGATTTCTCTATGAATAATACGAATCAAAGTTTGAAGAAGGGGAAGGAGGAGTCCTCGACCCGCAACAGATAGAGGAGGATTTATTCAACCACATAGTTTGGGCTCTTAGAATATGACGCCCTTGAGACTTTCTATTTGATTGTATCAAAAAGTCCAATGAATTGAGATTTTCCTATTGGGCTAGGTCATTTCGGGATAAGCGGATCATTTTTGACGAAGGAGAGGTCTGATTGACATCCAAAAATTGCTCAACAACAATCGAACCAGTGGAGAATGCTAGGGTAAACAAAAAAAGTTTGAATAAAGACAAATCTAAACATTGGCTAGGTAATCGTCATGTGGTAAGAGGAGTAGTTATGAAACCGCAAAATTAATCAATAATTCTAAACTTTCAATTTCTTCAAAAGTTCAAGAAAATTACCTCCAAGTCCCTATTTTATGAGTCCTCAAGACCTCAACAGTACGATAAAATGATTGTTCCTGAGACTAAAAAGTGAAGACAGCTGTAAAATAAGAATGAATAGCTTGGTGTCCAAGAGATCAGATTAAATCTCAAACAATGATGTGATATACTATACAAGTCTATGTCCTACATTTTAACCAAATAAGCTCAAATTCCCAATCTGCATTGCACAATGGGATCAACGGTCATGACCAAATAAAAGAGATCAAATGACCTGTTGGATTCAAATTTTCAAGCAAAAAACTGCTACATTCTTAAATTTTTAATTATTGAATACATTTTCAATAGTAAGCTAGATTAATTATTGCATTTTCATATAAATGTAGGTCCAAAGAATAAGAAAATGATTTGGAATTTATCTCTCAGATCATACTTTCCTAAGTTGTGCATATGCCAGAATGATTAGGGGATGGAATAAACATAATACCAGCCAACATGGAGTAACGTTGACTCAGGAATTTATTATTATTATTTTAATATTCTACATGTTCTGAATAATATTTTTAAGAATAATGATATTTTTTTTATAATAAAAATATTATAGTTTATGTTAGTGTGTCAGGTTAGACTTTTGCATAGTAAAGCTGGAAGTATAGTTCAAGAAAGAAATCGAAGGAATAATTTGTTGAATAGGCAACTCTGTTGAAATTTTGTCTTGCTTTCAAATGGGACCATACAGTACCCCTCCCATGTCCTCTTTGGACCTTTTTTTATGGACTTTCCCTCAACCTTTTAAATCGTGTCTATTAGGGAGAGGTTCGACTATATAAAGAATGTTTTGTTCCATCTCCAACCAATAGATATTGTCTTTTTTGGGCTTTCCCTTTCGAGCTTTCTCTCAAGATTTTAAAACGCGTTTGTTAGGGGAGGTTTCCACACCCTTATAAAAGAATGCTTCGTTTCCCTCTCAAACAAATATGGAATCTCACAAGCTGAACAAAAACCCAATTTCAGATAAAACTATGCTTAGAAACGAGAAATGGATATACGATATGCATGTCGACATGAAAAGGAGAGGAGTAATCAGGAGATACCAATAGTAACTCTATTACTGACCTCGTCTCAGAATGTTGCATGATAAATTGCTCTTCTAGACAGTTCAGCAGCTTCTTCAACTGATAAATCGTACCGGTAGCTGCAGACACGTTGGAAATCAGAATACCTCAAATCCAAATTGAAGTTAGGCATAGTCAAGAATTACCAATTGTACATGAAGGAATGAAGCACAGCAGTGTGTTAAGAAGTAAATTTCTCTACCTTTCTCAGGGGTATGCTAAGATTTTTGTACCAAGGATGTTGGGTTACAAGTTTCTATTTCGATGAAGATGAAGGACAAGTAAAAGCAAAGATGAATACCCATTGTCCAGGACACCATACACATAAGGTGAACCAGATTCAACTGACATTCCAGTTCCTTTCAATTTTCCTCCTTCACTGTCAAATAATACAATCCAGGTCGCTGCAACTTCATAAGATATGGTTAGGAACCATGGATCTCCACACAATAGTATTAAACATAAACTCTAATGATTTTGATTTTGGACTTTTCCAAGAAACCTCCTACAAATGGAGATGTATTTTTTACTTATAAACTCAGGATCATTCTCTTAACTAGCTTATTAGTTAATGTGGAACTCCCTCCCAATAATCCTCAACATGGTTCATCATGAAAAACATGTGAATCCACCCAAACACTCGGGTCACCGATTGTTCGGAGGAAGACCAAGGGGATTCTTGGAATGGCAAAATCAAAATGGAATGGTTACCAACTAGTTTATGCGGTCGGAAAAGATATCTCTTGAGTTTCTTTGGTTAAGTATCAAGAGAGTTAATTGTCCAAAATCTTCGGTTCCAATTCCTTCAATTAAAACAAAGTGGACCAGACCTTTCTAATTGTTACTAAGAGAAAAGGAAAGCTTGGAATCAATAGGAATCCAAAAACTAACCTTGTTCGAGACGGTCCCCTATCAAGTATCTTTTTTAACTAAAATTACAGTTAACTTTCTCCATTTGCAACCTCTCCTCTAAGTCAGGCACACCTGAGATATACTTCGGGTGCAACCTGAACTGCACCCATATTTTTGCTGTCTAACCACAGTTTGCCACATGATAAACTCTTTTTTTGTTTTTTCTACTGTGGGTGGATTTGGCTACAAAAAAAAAAAAAAATGAGTGTAACCCAAGATGCACTCAAGTATTTCTCGATCACACCGCCCCTTACTAATTGCCAAAATTATTAGGTGTTGTACTCTCTCGATTTTTCCTTTTTCCTTTCTGAGTTTTTCCTTACGGTCCAAGCCCATATTGTCCTCTCTAGACTTTTTTTTTTTTTGTCTTCTCCTTAAGATTTTAAAACACGTCTCTTAAGAAGAAGTTCCTACACCCTTATAAAAAAGATTCATTCTCCTCTTTCCTTTTTTTTTCTCTTTCTTGTTATGTCCCAACTATTCATACCCCTCAAATAGAAGTAGGTGCAAAATGACCGTTTTTCCTCTATATTGACTTTGACCTTTTTTTTTTATATTACCACCATCCCGAACATAATTTCTTTCTTCATCGACTTGATCGGTATCCACGGCCTACAATAAAATCTCATGACCTACGTGTATACGAATCTTAGGAAGGAAAGCAAAGGTCATTGATACCTCGTAAGCTCGGGTGTTACACATGTTCACTCACATAAGCAGAAATTGGAATATCAAAAGACGTCATCGAGGATAAACCATCGAGTAGCTTAGTACTAGCCGTCCCAGAGAAAAAATTGGCTGATTCAAGACCGGTAGTGTCCATCTTCATTATCAAAATCTTGTGGAGAATAAACAACAAAAATCGAAATAAAACATTTGTTATTAACAAGCACAACTGAATATAGCACACACAAGAAGAAAGCTCCTCCGTCGCCATCGAGCGATCAATTATAAACAACGAAGGCGAAAACTGTACACATAGTAATAAACCCAAAAATCAGAGTCTCAGCTAACAATATCATCCTCTTTCTGCATCGTCTCAGTAACCAAACAGATTCCACAACTATTGCTACAAATCATATTTGTAACGTGATTCAAGAAAGGAAATGATCATAATGAAATACAACAAAACTTTAGGCAATCGCCATTATTTAAAGAAGAAAACTGAGAAGTACAAGTCGATTAGAGAATAAGCTGTCAACGATACCGTTTCAAGGATGATGCAGAGACGATTGCAGGCGTATATCGAGGACGACGAACAATGAAGTGAACTAAACGAGGGTTATTGTAAAAAATGGCGCCTTCTTTGAAAAAATCAGTATTTCTCCACTCCTTTTAAACTTTTAGTTCATGTGCAGTTACCGTTTTACCCTTATGGATTTATAACACATTATTCCCTAAATTTAATGTTTCAATCGATTTTATGTCATTCGTTTCTACGTGTTTGTAACGTATTTAATGTCTTGCTTTTATTTGTTTAATTTTTTTAATATTTTTTATTGATTTTTTAATTTATTTATGTTATTTGAATTATTTTGTTTTACCAATATCATTGATTTAATTATTAATTTATTTATAAACAGAACGTGAAACAAAAATTTAAAACAAGTTGGTTCAACTCCTAATTAATCATTAAAAAATAAAATTTACAAATTACAAAAATTCTTTAAAATAACTATTTTTAATAATAATAAATGGAAATAAATTTTAGAACCTTATGATATATGGGGAGAATTTTCATTCTCATTCCCACAAAAATAAATGGATAAATTCGTAGAAATATATAATTAAAAAAATAGAGTGTAGATGAAAAATAGATCTCTGTCCCCATCTCAGCTAATGGATACCTTTATGTATACAGAAAGGTTCGAGCGTGGAAGGCAATGGTACCCTCTCAAAAAATAATGTTTATGGAACACGGGCGAGGAACCCAAATTAAATGCTTATAAGTCAATTATAGCCAACGTTCGATCCTCTTATTAAATTATTTTACTTTTTGAGTTAAAATACGAGTTTATTTTTAAAAAATTACGATTACCCAATTCATAATTAATTTGAGTGAATTATATGAAGATATCGAAGTCATGTCGAGCAAGTAAGTAAAATTTCATTTTCTCAACAAATCTTTCATATTCTTATTCAGCCGTTCAAAATATGTAGTCGCTAAAAGGTCAAGAGTTGGATTGGATGAAACTGTATTTTAGACCAGCGAAATCTAATCGGGTCGAATATAGTTTTTTTAGATTTAATTTTTTCAATTAAAAATATATATTATATAATAGCTTGTAAATCTTATTAGGATATCAAATTAAAAAAAAAAAATCATCGGAAAAACAATCAAAATTATACGTATGCATAATTCAACTGACTAAGGTATATATCATCGAGAGATTATATCTCTTAATTCCACTTCTAAAAAACGTTAAATAGTTTTCCTCTTTAAAACTCACATATTTTATTATATTTTAAGGGATTTATATTAAAATAATTAGAGATAAAAATAAAAATGTAATTTAAGTTTTTTAGCAATAAATAATTAAAGCACCTGCAAAATGTGGACTGTCATACAACATTTATCTCAAAGGATAAAATATTCAAATTTTTACTATTGGTAGTAAAATGAATTTGGTAAAAATTAAATTTAAAGGAAATAGTTAAGTCTATTATGAATTGAGTTTATAAATTAAGTAGGTAAAGTCACACGATTGGATAAGTGATTTCAAAATGAGAAATTTCTAAAAATTAATTAATTATTTTGATACACTAACAAACGATGACGTTTAATCGAACTCCGAAAATGACGGAATTATTCATTTTTTTAATAGATTTTGGATTTTATTTAATTATATCATAAGGTATGTTTCAACATGAATTTTCGCACCCAATTATTAAAAAAGGTTATTTTATTTATTTATTTTTGAAGCAGCTTTTAAAAATTACTAATACTAACATGTCTTTAAAAATATTATTTTAATATCAAATAGATTATTAATAAATTATATTTTAGACACCAATTTAAATTTTATATCTAACCATTTTCTTAAAGTAAATTTATAAATTGTATTCAAATTAATAATTAAATTTTAATTGGTTGAAATGACTATTTATTGGACACTATGGTAATTATTATTGTTTATTTATTTTTTAAATCTATAAAAATTAGGATTTTTTTTTTAATACTATAATATTGCAGTCTTTTCATTTCTACATGTTACACGTAATTTTATTTTATTTTAGAAGTCTTCTTAAATTATTAAAACCATCTAAATATTATAAATTTTTTGCACACCTTGGAGCCACGTCACTGGTAAACCACGTGTATGGTTTTATTTCTTTCATTGTCTGTTCAAAGGACGCGTGGGCTTATTATGACGTAAGAAGAGATATTTTCTTTAGGAAATTCAGGCGAGCCTTTATGAGACAACGCAATAATTCAACTCGTTATAGGGATTAAAAAATATATAAAATAATCAGACGTGTAAAGCCACGTGGTGACGACGATATCTCCGGGAATTACTCGTTGACAACGTGGACACAGATGGGAAAAGGAGTCCACCTTGGAAATTAATATAAAGGAGTTTACTTTATTTAAATTAATTATTATTTTGGTTTCAAAATTTAACGAATAGATTTTCCTTTTTCCTTTTTGGTCAACTTGACCACGCTATTAACGGATCTAGTAGCCGACATGCCAAGGTTTCAGCCACTGTCTTGAAAACTCCATTTTCATCAGAAAAATCTATAATTACAAAAGTTATATATTGTAATTAATTCTTTTTTTAATTAAATTTATAAACAAAAAAAAAATTATAAATTGAAACTATATTAAATTTAATCGAACCAATTCACTACTTACACTACTATATTTATTATTTAATTTTATATATTATTTGTCAATATCTTCGCTGGCACACCCAAATAAGGTGGATATTGTAAGTGTTAAAAATATTTAATACTAAATTATAATTTACCATATTTATCATATTTAATATTTTATTATATGCAAATATCTATGTATCTTTTACCTATTGTTCTTTTCATTTATTACTATTTTCATATCCTTATAATTTATTTAATTATAAATAAATAATTTTCTCACACCATTTAAGTGGAATGGATTAAACAAAACTCATCAGTTAGACCTCTTGATAAATAGAACGGGTCATAGTGGATAATATTTATTAAATGTGAGCTTAAAATAATTTTAAACTTTTTAATTTTTATTTAAAAAATTGAATAAATGATCCAAACCATTCAACTCATCTAATTTATATTAATTTTTTCTCGAGGGAATAAACATAAATTAGAGGGTTATTTTGCAAAAAAATTATAAGAAATTAATAATATAAAAAATGTATTTTTTTTTCATTAAAAATCACAATTATAAGTAGAAGGTAAATGTGTGGAGGTGGGGCTCAAACTGCTCTAGGTTACATAGATTAATTGAAAATACTTTTATTGAAAAAAAAAATTAAAGTATAATTTTTTTAGTTAATATAATTTCTACGCGTGGTTCTCATAATTTCAATAAATTTAAACTTAGTCATATAAAATTAATTTCTATCAAATTTGATTAATAACAACAATATTCAAATAAAAAGATTCATGTAAATATATTTTAATAATTTATAAATGAATTCTTAATCGATTTAATTATTAATGCATGAACTACAAATATTAAATTAAATTAAAAATCTTATTTGTTATTATTATTTATTAAAAAAAATGGCATAATAAAAGTTTACAGTTTAAGCACAAATTGGTCCTAGGATCCACGTGGAAAAGAATTATTTTCAATTGAATAATTTAAACTTTAAACGAAAAAAAGGCACACTTCCCACTGTTGACTAAGAAAATTGTTGTCATTCCATTAAGACAGCACATGATAGTAGTTTGAATATATTTTCAAAATAAAATTTTAATCAATTTATCCTGATTTTTTTTAATAAAATATGACGTTATCATACTTTTATAAAATGGTAATGTACGTTTAAACCTAACGACCCCATTTTTTTAAACCATATTAATTTATAATAAAGTCTATAAAAAATTAGAATTTCTAGTATTTTAGTCAAGGATTTTTAGTTATCAATATACTCGGAGTATAAATTATATTACGTAGAATATATTATTAAAAAAGATTGGAGTGATGTATAAAACGAAGCGAATAACAAAGGTGTCGTATGATTTGTGAACTCGACCAACTTGAACTATCAATTCAAATCATAAACATTGGGTTAAGTTAATTTTTTTTTAAAGTTTGAATTGGATTGAAATTTTGTAAAATCAACACCGAGTTTGACTTTTTTTTTTGGTCAACTGGACCAACTAAAAATAGATGTACAAAAATATGAATATGTCTTAAAAAAAAAAAAAAATTCAACCCAAATTTACTTACCAATTATATTTTACAAAATTAAAAATGTTTTTTTTTGGTTATTAATTAATTTAAAATCCCAAAGATCCGAGACCCAATCGACGCGATTTGTTTAAAATACTACAGAGTTATCCCCATCACCAACAGGCTGCCACATCGGAAAGGGTAAAAGAGGAAAAAAAATTAAAAACCCTAATTTATTTGATCCTGCTGCTCATAAATAAATTGGGATTTAAAAATTAAAACCATTTTCCATGACAATAATAGTCACTTGCCACTCACGCGCATCTCTCTCCTCTCAAATCTGTTTGAGTTGATATTGCGCTTTCGAACAACTCTCTCTTTCAAGAGTTTCGATCTCCGATTTGATGCATCAACTGCAAGGAGATGAAAGTCTACAGAAGATGCAGCAGCGCTTGAGCTTCCGTTTGATTCCTCCGAGTTTCTCTATTGCTGTTTTATGAAGCTTCCTTGGTCGATTCTGCCTGCCCTTCTTCTCTTCTGGTAATTTTCAATCTCAAATCTGTCTCCCTTTGAATTTGTCATCGTTGCTAGTGATTCTTCACTCATGTTTGTTGATTGAGCTGTTCGGTTGTACGGATATATGATTGTTCGTTTCTCGAATCATTCTGAAAATGGAAGGCCAGTTGGCTGCAACGGGTTCTTTTTTCCGGATTATTTCCGCTTGGAATCTCCGGATAGAGTGTCGTTTTCAAATTTTTTAAGAAATTATTTCCACTGAAGTGAGACGGTAAGAAATTGGAAGCAATTCGAATGTTTTGGGATTTCAATGGGAATACGAATAGACGTCTGTCAACATCTAAGTGGGCGTAGTATGATTACTTGGTTTGAGTTGAGGAACCATGAGTATATTCAACAACTGAAGGTTGATGTTGGAAGTTCAAGATTTAATCTGTTTTTCTTGCAAAACTCTTTAGTGGACATTTAAGGATATATTTTAATTTTTTAATATTTGTAGTGTAATGTAATTTTTTTTTAAAAACTCTCAAACAGGAACTTGCTATTACTTGTTAATTGAAGTTTCAGCTGCCCTTTTTTTTTTTCCATTTTATTCAGACAGTTTCATCTTTTTGGCAACTCAGATGACATAGATTTTCATTGATGATCATAAAACCATGGATGTTCCGGAGGTTGAAGAAATATTTTTTGCTGCCGGTGATGCCAAGGTATGAGCTGAAAGTTATTTTCTGTTTCTTCCCAGGTGGTTGTGAATGAATATGCCTTTGTATCTAGCTTCATGGGAGGGAGGGGTGGGTTCTTTCTTCCTCTGACCTTTGCCTGTTTTCTTTTGGTTCATCAATATATAACCAGGTTTATTATTAAAATAGAAAAACACGAAAGAAAAAGAACTTTGATGCGTCTGTTCTGCATATCAGTTCCAGAGGATTTCCTATCAAGTGTTTCTTTGTTCAACTCACAGAAGTTATGAACTGAAGGCTTTTTGTTGTAGGAAGTAGCTATTTTCATTTGATACTGAAAAGTTTTCAAATTACTAATGAAGAACTTTTTGTTAACTCAAAATTATTTGAGAAATCAAACTGCGTATGTAATTTTTAATGTCATGACCGAAGTACATGACACTGCTTTCTTAGATTGATGTAAAGGAAAAGCAGTGATATCAATATATAGTGTTGGATTTTGTTGGAAGTTTTACTCTGTTTGTTTGCTTGGCTGTGACTTGGGGTGCTGGGACATGTGAGGATTCAAGTTTCCTTGTAAAAGTTATCTGTTAATAGATTGAATTCTTAAGTTGTAGTATGTTTATATTGGATTTTACCGCCGTTTAAGTATTTACAATCAGTCAAACTACTTCAGTCTAGAGATATCTGTTTTTACTGGATGCATGTTATCTTTCCTTGGTATGAATTAATTTTTTTTTCTCACATCTTGCAGTTGCATGGAGAAATGTACAAGAAGCTCGCTGCAATTTATGGTCAAGTTATGTCAATTTTCCCTTCCTTGGAAGCAGCACGACCTAGAAGCAAAACTGGTATTCAGGCTTTATGTTCGTTACATGTTGCTCTTGAGAAGGCCAAGAATACTCTTCGGCATTGCTCGGAGTCCAGTAAACTCTACTTGGTAGGACAACAATGATCATTGTTCCAACAATTTTCTTATACAACTTTAGATTTCATCACGAGTAGCCAACCAATGTATACAACCATTATGCTCTACTTCCTTTTTCTTCTTCTAAAAGTCACCAATGCTAGTGGGTTTGCATTTGTACGACAGGCTATAACTGGAGACGCTGTTCTAGCCAAATTTGAGAAGGCAAGATGTTCTCTTGAAGCTAGTCTTATATGCGTTGAAGATATTGTCTCACAATCAATTGGATTTCAGGTGAAAATTGTTCTGTTTTATTTCTTCTTTTCCTTTCTTTTGTCATGCTTTTAACTGAACCTGTCTCCTGAATTGATGATTGGAATGCTGTATTTATCCCCTTTCATCGGGCAGAGTTTTGGAAGCAGCATAGTGAAAGTTCATGATTTTGATTTTAAAAGCAAAGTAATCTTAATTACGTATTCATTCTTCACTTATTCAATCAGGTAATGAACTCAATGACGTCTAGAATCTTGGACACTTCGATCTCTTGCATTTGGAATGTGTTAAAAAAGACTCAATAGGCTTATAGATGGATTTTAGTATGTTCATAACTGACTATCTAGTGTTTCGTTTGACTGCAAATGTATGGTATCATCAATGGCTTATGTTAATGTTACTTTTTCCAGATTCAGCCAATAGTGAACGAACTCAAGGACACTGTTTTCTTACTCGATCCACTCGAGAAACAGGTTGGTGATGATATCATTGCACTACTCTTGCAAGAAAGAAAATTTGATGATTCCAATGGCCACAATGAGCTAGAGCATTTTCATATGGCTGCCACGAAACTTGGAATTACCTCATCCAAAGCAGCCCTCACAGAGAGGAGAGCTCTTAAGAGACTTGTAGAACGAGCTCGCTTAGAAGAAGACAAGCGAAAGGAATCAATTGTAGCTTATCTTTTGCATCTCATGAGGAAGTATTCTAAGTTATTTAGAAGTGAGGTATTGGATGACACCGACTCACAGGGTGGATCAACTCCTTGTTCTCCTACTGTTCGGTGTTCTCTTGAGGACAATGGACTTACAGCAAACGGTCAAGCTTTTGAACAGCAGCTTTCAAAGCTCAGTTCCTTTAATTTCAAGCCAAATTATAGGACATCAGGGAAAATGCCTCTTCCACCCGAGGAGTTGAGGTGTCCAATATCATTGCAGCTAATGTACGACCCTGTAATAATTGATTCTGGGCAAACATATGAAAGGATTTGCATAGAAAAGTGGTTCAGTGATGGTCATAAAACCTGCCCGAAGACCCAACAGAGGCTCTCCCACCTGTCCATGACGCCTAATTATTCTGTGAAGGGTCTCATTGCTAATTGGTGTGAACATAACGGTGTTCCGATCCCTGATGGTCCACCAACGTCACTTGATCTGAATTATTGGAGGCTTGCATTGTCTGATTCTGAATCTGGAACATCAAGATCTGTGGACAATGTTGTTGGCTCTCACACGTTGAAGGAAGTTAAGGTAGTTCCTTTGGAAGAAAGTGGATCAATTAAAGTTGATGAAGAAAATGAAGCAGATGATAATACACGCACGGAGGAGTCGTCTAATTTCATTACACTGGAGAGTTGTGTAAATTTTATGACAGTATTGACTGAAGAGGGAGACTTGAGAACAAAATGTAGGGTTGTGGAACAGATAAGACTTTCACTGAAGGATGATGATGAAGCTCGAATTTTGATGGGAGCCAATGGCTTTGCTGAAGCACTTATGGAATTCCTAACTTTAGCTCTTATTGAAGAAAACGCTGATGCTCAGGAAAGTGGAGCCATGGCTCTCTTCAATCTTTCTGTCAACAACAACAGGTCTGTACTCTTCATCTAGACCTACTATTGACAATGAAAGTACATTTCGGCATGAGGTAGTCTGAATCGTGGCCAATCTGGCATCTTATTTGGATAATTGTCTGCATATTTCATATTTGTGCCAAGGAAATCATGATGAAAGAGATAGCATGTCCTTGAATTGATTGTGCCAAGGAAACTAGGATTTTATGTCCTTGAATTTATAGTTGTCTGCCCATTTTCTCTTCATATAAACCCAATCTTCGAATGAGACTTTGTTTTCGTGGATCTCTCTCGGTCAGGGGCAAAGAAAAAAAAACGTGTATGTTTGTTCTTGTATCTCGATTGCATCATGCATTTCAATTATTTTCTTCTCATATTTCTTGCTACTAATTATGTGGTCTGGTTATAGTTCTTGCAAAGTTAGTGACATGGGATATAAAATAGGTAGGAACTATTGGTTTATTTGATGCTGGTTGAACCCCTGGCCCGCTCTTTCTCCCTTGTGAATTGATGGCTTAAGCCGCCCAATGACGTAGCTGTGATTTTTTCTTTCAGAAACAGGGAAATGATGATTGCAGCGGGTGTAATCTCGTTGTTGGAGAACATGATTTTGAAAGCCAATTTACATGGACCTGCAACAGCTCTGTATTTGAATCTTTCCTGCCTAGAAGATGCCAAACCCATCATTAGTTCGAGTAGAGCCGTTCCTTTCCTGATCCAGCTGCTTACTCATAACGGCGAATCCCAAACCAAGCTCGATGCTCTTCATACCCTCTATAACCTTTCAACCACGCCCTCCATCGTTCCTGTTCTCCTCTCCGCTGGTATTATCGCTGGACTTCAATCCTTCATCGCAGCTCCAAGCGACAGTACATGGACAGAGACTTCCTTAGCTATCTTAATAAACATAGCTTCAAGCCAGTTGGGTATAGAACAAGTAACTTCGGCTCCAGAGCTTATCAGTGGGTTGGCAGCAATCGTGGACGCCGGCGAACGTGCCGAGCAGGAGCAAGCTGTCTCGTGTTTGTTGACTTTGTGTAGAGGGAGTGAAAGATGCAGTCAAATGGTGTTACAAGAAGGAGTGATTCCGGGATTGGTGGCAGTTACAGTAAATGGGAGTTCGAGAGGGAAAATAAAAGCTCAAAAACTTCTGATGTTGTTTAGGGAGCAGAGGCAAAAAGACACAGCCGATACCATTCAGCAGCGAGATGGAAATAGTGACGCTGCAGCCATGGGTGCTCCAGATTATAAGCCATTATGCAAATCAGTGTCCAAGAAAAAGATGGGGAAAGCTTTAAGCTTTTTTGCGAAGAGCAAACGATTTTCACTCTACCAATGTTGAGCCCATCATCCTTGTATATTCTGCTGTTACCATATATATATATGTATGTATGTATGTATGTATATTTCTTTCTAGTCCCCTTTGTATCCTATCGCTATCATCCTTCCTTTGGTTTCCTTTTCTAGTAGGACTAGAATTGTACAGTTTTCTGTAATTAATTATTTTGTTTCCTTCTTTTTGTATTAAAGCATGATATAAACTAAATGTGTTTTTTTTTTTCTTCGCTTAAATTAATAACAATACTCTTATTTTGTCTAAAAAAATATTTCTAAAATTTTTAAAACTTTTAATAGCATTCTAACCGTAGAACTACATTATGTTTGAATTATCTTTTTGGTCTATTTAAAGGCATGTAATACTCAATTTTGAAATAATGGTGGAATACAAAAACGTTATGACTTTAGATTTGATGATGTTAAAATCGAAGATTTGATGATGTTAAAATCGATTCATTAGATCAGTTATGATTAAACTATTTCTGGAGTGAATTGTCTTGGAATCTAAGGGTAAGCATCATATGTTTCAAGTTCAATAGTTATTCATCATTCTAACCTACTCTTAGTTGAAAGTTTGTAAAGATACTAAAAACTTCTAGCATCATTGGCGCTTATCATAATAGAATACATACAGTCCATTGCACTACACAAAATTAGAATAATTTATACCAATTATATGAAGTAAGAATAAAAACCATATAATCATCATCGACCCTGTCGCTTTCGCCTTCTTTTGGATCTCTCTTTCTCACTAGGTTCCTGTTGGGGAATCTGTCCTGTCTTTTCAATCACTTCAGAACCACACTCTTTGCCCATCTTCTTCCTCTTCTTGTCGTTGACGAATTCAACGACAGATTCAAGTGCCACGTCAACGTCGTCACTTTTCATGATATGTTCTGCAATTTCTGCGGCGTGACCTCCACCTCGATTATAAGGTCTTGGATGTGTTTGAAACGGCGATGGTGAGTGATGTGCAGATAGTTTGAGGTCAGAGTATCGAAGCCAGAAGGAGTCAGGTAAGTCATGTACATGTGCTTGTCCATGCGCCCTGGTCTCTGTTAAATAAAAGTCATGTTCCTTATTTAGTTAGGTTTCTCTAAACATCTGAATTCACGCAAATTGAAGAGCGTAATTCTTAGGTGCCATTCTTTGGCCTTTCGGCGAAATCTTCGTCCAATTTTCCATTCAACGGGAGGAAAATAAACATATTGAGTCTTCAAAATCTCAGCAGATCTCTCTCCCTCTCTCCTTTTACTTCCGCTAATTTTTTCTTTCGAAAGAAACCTTCGGCCAATTTTTTGTCGACATTGTCCTCCGAAATCAAAGCCAGGTTGAAGCCATTGGTGTATATCATTGCAGAAGAGCCAACCTATCAACAAATAAGTTGAATATCTTAAGTGGTTAGAGCATCAACCTAACAACACATAGGTCTCAGGTTCAAGTAGTGTGAAAACACACACTTTGTGGGGCTCAGTAATTAGGGAGACAACGACTTGAACATCCTATCAAGCTCGTGAGCCTCGACGGGAAGTATAGGTATTTTTTTAAAATATAATTAAGAAATAACAATTTTTTTTAAAAAAATTCATAAATACTTTTAATATTTTAGGGGTATTTTTTTAAGAATATTTATAATTGTTCTTAAAATTTAACGGTAATTTTAAAATACCATTTATTTTAAAAATATTTTTTTAAGTGTACAAGTATTATTAAAAATTTATAAATTCTAAGAATATATATATATTATTATTATTTATTTAGCCTATTTTTATTAATCTATAAATGTCATTTATAAAATCCAAGAATATTAATAATTTAAAAGTAGGTTTAAAATACTACTAAATGTTAAAAGATTATTTTTGAAATAAATTAGAAGCTATTTACTTTTATAGGTTTAAAAGTATTATTAAAAATTTATAAAATCGAAGAATTTTTTATTTTATTTTATTAATTCAGCCTATTTTGATTCTGTATGAAGTAAAATTCGATGTTTGGTGTGAATCAATACGGCTCACCTGGCTGTTACCGCCGTCATATCCGCCATTTTTCCGATCCTGAAGCTCAGCGCTGCAATCAATATCTTCAATAACAATGATGGACCTATGAGTAGTGGATAACAACATGGTCCTAAGCGCGGAGTTGGTCTGAACACTGGTCAGCTCCAAGTCATAAATATTCAACTTCAGATACTCCGCCATGGCCGCCACCGAGCTCGATTTCCCAGTTCCCGGTGGCCCATATAGAAGATACCCTCTTTTCCACGCCTTCCCAATCCTCTTGTAAAACTCCCTTTGAGAGGAGATGGAGCCGAAGAGGGCGTTGAATTTGGAGGCGATTTGGTCGCCGAGTTTTTGGGGAATGATTTGGGAGATGATTGTATGGGATTCCGACATCATTGTTCGAGCTACCATTGTTGAAGCTGCGAAGGATGTGCGAGGTTGTTAAAAACGACGTCGTTTTTGTTCCTTTTTTTCTGTGGGGTTTTGAAGTTCAAATTTGAGATGGCTTTATAAGGTGAGGGAGAGGGGAGTTTCTTGCGGTGGAAGCTTTAGCTTGGAGAAGAGTTGAGGCTTCCATGGTTGTTTAGTTTGACTGAATCAAACGACGACGTTTCGTATTTGACTTCCATGAGAAGCGTCGGTGGGGGCTGACAAAAAGGAGACTTCCGTTCAACTCTACCATACTTTTCAACGGATTGAAAGTAGTTGATATTTGTAATCAATGTTAGTGATGGTGTTGTGACTTATAAATGTTTGATATTTAAATTTGATAAGATTTTAGTTACAAATATAATGGATAGGGAGGATAAATAAGATTCTTTTAAAGTAATTAAAAAAAAATTAGACAACTCAACTCAATTTCCAACACAAAAATTAAGGGTTGAGATGAATTGAATTGTGAACTCTATTTCAGTTGTTTGAGTTAACTCACTCAAATTTCTAGAGATTTTTCTAACTTAATCCAATCCTTATTCTACCTTATTTTATTAATATTAAATAATAATAATAATAATAATAAAGAAAAAAATATATTTATTTTTATTAGTGATAAAAAATAAGTGAAAGAAGTTAATTTGAGGACGAAATTATTGAAAAATGAAGGATAAAAATGTAAATTTACGAAGTGAAAATAAAATTAAAATTTAATGGTATTATTATATTATTATTTCTTTTTTGCAAATGAGATTCTGAACTTTTCAATATAAGAATCTTCTTATTTTATTCCATTAAATAATTGGTTAGTATTTGCAGTATCGGTGGAGGTGACAATTGATATGACAATTAATAATATAAAAAGGTCGATTACAGGCCCAATGTATCTAATTGTTTTAGTGCAAGTCTACAACACTTTCTGTAGTTATCTCGCTCCACTTGCGTGAATCAACGAGCTCGCGCTTCAAAATCGCGAAGAGAGCACCATTCCGGAGCTTTGCTTCTGAAACAGATCGAACGAACGACGTTCTTCGACATTGTAAGTTTACAATTCTGATAAGTTTATATGGATTGAAATTAATGTAATCCCATTTCTAAACATCGATGTAGTTAAAATTTCACGATCTAAGCTATTAATGTAGGGTCGTTAATCGTAATGAGGTTAAGAGATGGATTCGGCTTTATCGGGATTGATTTTGATCGTTAAGGTTTCAGCTAACGAATTTTGTTTTGTTATGATTTGGAATTTGAGCTGCGGGCGTGCGAAAAGAATGAAGTTGACTCCAAAGGAGGTGGACAAACTAAATCTGCATAATGCGGGATTTCTAGCACAGAAGCGTCTTGCGCGTGGCTTGAGGCTGAATTACGCTGAAGCTGTAGCACTTATTGCCACACAGGTTCGTAATCAGCGTGTTCAGTCATGTTGAACTGTTCCTAAACTAGATAGATTATATTAAAAAAGGTCTGCAGAAGTATTCCTGGACTTTTTTTTTTTTTTGTTCCTTTTCATTTTAGTAAGTATACGACCATACGGGTTCAGGTTGATCCTAAAGGATTATTACTATTATTATTTCCCCCATAGATTCTGGAGTTTGCTCGCAATGGTGATAAGAGCGTGGCAGAATTGATGGAATTGGGACCAAAACTCTTAGGAAGGTTTGATAAAATTCTTTTATTTTGTTTTGCTATGATACTGTTGAATATTGTATTGCTTTTAAATCATCCTTTGTTAATAACAACTGCAGAATTTTCATTAACTTTCTTCATGACAGGAGACAAGTTCTTCCGGCTGTTCCACATCTTGTGGATTCTGTGCAGGTATTGTACTTCCAAGTATTGTTTTCAAGTTTTCCACAAATTCAGGTTCCAAATTGTCTATAAAAGTCTCCCAAAATCTTTAAACATCATGTATGATGCCAAAGATTGATATTGTAGGTTGAAGGAACTTTTCGTGATGGGACGAAGTTAGTCACAGTTCATAAGCCCTTTGAAGAAGAAAATGGGAACCTAGAGCTAGCATTGGACGGTTCTTTCCTTCCAGGTGGATCTCATCTTCACAATTTTTTTTAGTTACATTATATGGGATAAATTTACTATTCTATTTAAGGGGATGCAATAAAGATTCCCATGATTGCTAATTTCTTGGTTCAAATCTTTGCTCTTAATTCCCTGCTAAAAAATAATTGTTTTTTTTGGTTAAACTACTTTTTTGACCTTTCAGGATTGTATTTAATAGGCCCTTAAAATTTTAAAAATATGTAATAGATTTGTGAGTTTTTCACCTTTTCTCCTTTGTTACAAGTGTGAAGAGTCCATCAATCACCTTTTTCTCCATTGTGAGTTTGCTCATGAAGGTTGGATGTACAGTACATTATCTATTGTTTTAATTTGGTATGGTGCACTCTGAAGAAAGTGGAAGATGGTCTTTTTGAATGGCTGTCCAGTTTGTGGTTCAAAGAAAAGACTAGAATCTTGTGGAGTAATGCAAGTAGAGTCTTTGGGTTCTCTTGAAGGAAATAAATAGAGGAATGTTCTCTGATAAGACCTCTACTTTCAATGTATTTTTGTGAAATTGTACAAATTTCTTTTTGCAACGTACAATGTTCTCTCATTTACTTAGGTGGGAGGTCCTTCCTCTTTTGATCCCCTATTGTAGCCCTAGGGATCCCTCATCCTTAAGCCCTTTTGGCCGTGGTTTGCTCTCTTTTGGTTAATACGAGGTCTCTTTATTTCTTTTATATATATAAAAATAATTATGTGAGATTTCACATTTGTAAGTGCCAAACTTATTAACATTTTTTAAAGATTCCCGTATGTATTAAACACAAAGTTGACAGGCTAGAAAGGTTTCTTTTAGAGTACAACTCAGTTTTGTTTCTCATAGGTTCATCGATTATAAAATGACGAATAGATCAAGAATCTTTTAGACACATAATTGAAAGTTCAGTGACTTATGAGACACAAAATTGAAGGTTTAGATATCTATTGGACACTTTTAAACTTTAGAGACTTTTTGGACATAAAATTCAATCTCAATGACTTAGTAGACACAATTATGAAAGTCTAGAACTAAATATGTAATTTAACAATTTAATTTTTATGCCCAATTTAATATTTTTTTTCTTTCTGTAACCCAGTATATTTAATTTCTTTCTTTCTGAATTATTCAAATAAACTTCCGGTTCTTTATTATTATTGACACGTCCCAGCCTTGTTTCCTGCCTGTCCTTTATCACTAAATTGCTGTATTTTCTTCGTTCTTTTAGTTTTATCAGCTTTTACAAACAAACAATATTAGTGGAAATTCTTACTAAAAATTGAACCATGGTATGACATTTTAACAACACTCTTGATTTTTGCTTCTCACATGTCATCAAAAGGTTCAAACGTTCTTTGTAAACTTTTAATGTTCTCAAGTGTTACTCATTTGAGTGTTGCTTATTGTCTGTATTATCTAAAACTGCTTCCGAGAGAAGTCCTTGCACTTTCGTTATGCTTAACGTTTTAAGTGGTTTTCTTTATGAAAAAATGATTTTTCTCTCCGTTTAGTATCGTTGGTTTAATTGCAAGAGAATTGTCTTGCAGTGCCTTCGCCAGAAAAGTTCCCTTTGATGGAAAATAGTGCGGTGCCTGGTGAGATTATCTGTCCAGATGAAAAGATTGCTATTAATGTTGGACGGAAAGCTGTAATACTCAGTGTCGTCAATAAGGGAGACAGACCAATTCAGGTGTTTCCTGTGTTCTTATTTTTTCAATGCAAACTAGTCAAGCCTAAACTTAACCACAGTCCATGGCAATAATCAGCTGCTGATTTAGTTGTTAGAGACTAATTCAGGTGTCCGTCGTGCCCTTTTGTAAATGTAGTTCAATCTAGGCTAACTAATTTATTGCCATCATTCTCTATAGCGGGGCTTTGGGTTTGATGATGAACATGTGTGATTCCGGGTTAAAATGCTAAAAGCCACGTGTACCTTTTGATATCTTGGAGAACATAGAGCCTCAGACAAATTTCGCGCTCTCTTGGGTTGTTAATTTAGTTTTGAGTTGAAGCTATCAATTGAATTTTAAATTGCTTTCTATTTGTTCCAATCGTTTTCCAGATATGCGTCCTCTGGATATGGGCTCTATTACAGAAATCTGTTTTTTTTTTTTTATCAAACGTCAGTTTCTAACATTCTAAAGGCAATATCGTCTTAGGTTGGCAGTCACTATCACTTTATTGAGGTGAATCATTCCTTGGTTTTTGATCGAGCAAAAGCTTATGGCATGCGTCTCAACATTTCAGCAGGATCAGCTACACGATTTGAGGTTGGAAATTTTGATCTTGTTGGGAGCTTTTTGTTATAGATTATTGTTGAATTAACTTATTTTTCACTGGTTCTCTCGTTACCATATATGTTCCAATTTCTTGCTTCCCCAAATGATTTGACTGATGTGGGAATTAACTTGTTTATCTCTCCATTTGTTCATTATAATCTGATGACATGTTTTTAGGTGTAATTAATCTGCCTCTTTACTTTGTCCAAGATATTATTACGTGATAGAAAAATGTTGCTTTGGTACACTTATTGATGGATGTTCAACTCTTTAATATAACCTCATAGGCCCTATCAGGCACTTTGTTGATTTGTTCTTTTTCCCTAGTAGCCAGGGGATTCAAAATCTGTCATACTTGTAGCTATTGGTGGTAACCAAGTTATCAGAGGGGGAAATGACATATGTGATGGTCCGGTTGATAGTTCTAAATTAAAAGATGTGATGGAAGCTGTGCATTCTAGAGGATTTGGAGATGTGGAAGAAAGCAATGCTAGGTCTACACTATCTGATATGCAAGATTGTTGATTGTATTGTTTTTAATTTTCTAGGTCATTTGCATTTCCCCCTTTATGATTAGAGCATTGTAAATCCAGGAAAATGGAAGCCTTATCTTAGTTATCATTTTGCAGAGAAGGCATCACTGGAACGGATGATGAATTCACCACCAGACTTTCTCGTGAGGATTATGCCAACCGGTATGGTCCTACCACTGGTGACAAAGTTCGACTTGGTGACACAGATTTATATGCCGAAATCGAACATGATTTCACTGTTTATGGAGATGAGTGTGTATTTGGAGGTGGAAAGGTAATTAGAGAGGGAATGGGCCAATCCTGCGGGTTTCCGCCAGCTTTATCCCTTGACACTGTAATAACCAATGCAGTCATCATTGATTACTGCGGAATTTTCAAGACAGATATTGGTATCAAAGATGGCTTAATTATGACCCTTGGAAAAGCTGGCAATCCTGATGTCATGGATGGTGTTTGTCCTGATCTGATTATTGGGGTAAAATTTGTCTCAGTTCAGCATTATTTTGAAGGTATATCCATACTGCTGACTCCTTTTATTTCAATGTGATCAGGCCAATACTGAGGTTATTTCTGCAGAAGGATTACTGGTTACTGCAGGTGCTATAGATTGTCATGTGCACTTCATATGCCCTCAACTGGCATATGAAGCAATATCAAGCGGTACGCTTACTTATCATGTTAAAAGAAAATTTATAGATGTCAATTGGTGAAAGCATCATCAGTTGAGGTTGTGAGACTTCATTGGCTTTCTGCACTCTCATAATTTGTTGGAAATTAGTATTCTGTAGTATCTGAAATGAAATGCATAGTAATTTATTTTTTGAAGGTCTTGGGTTCATAAATCTGTATTGGATCACATAATTCGATATATCATCTTTCACTTAACGCTACACACAGTGAACACAGTTGAAACAACACGGAAGATTTGAAGTGTTTTGATATGTTATGCAAGTTCTATTTTATTTTTTTTTGTTATTTAGATTTTTGGACATGAACTCTGCATTTAACTAGGCATCACAACGATGGTGGGAGGTGGAACTGGGCCTGCCGCAGGAACTTGTGCTACCACTTGTACGCCATCTCCAGTGCAGATGAGGATGATGCTGCAATCAACTGATGACCTCCCCTTGAATTTCGGCTTTACAGGAAAAGTATGTAAACTTATTTTTTGATGTGTCGAATTTTCTTTTCTCTGCATACCCTTCAAGATGGTTCTTCCAGTTGTCCATATAAAATTTGGAAGTATTTAAATTACTATTTCAAATGTCTTTTATTTTTTTTCGCACTCTTATGAAAACTTGGAGCAGCTAGGTGCTTGCTCATTTCACCCTTTCTGGATATTACCTACTTCGAAGTTCTAATGGACCACCTTTTTGTCTGTCTCAGGGGAACAGTTCGAAGCCAGATGAGCTATATGAAATAGTACGCGCAGGAGCAATGGGGCTGAAGTTACATGAAGATTGGGGAACTACTCCTGCTGCAATTGACAATTGCTTAACTGTGGCAGAAAAATATGACATTCAGGCACAATCATCCAAAATTTCTCTCCCAGCGTTTGAAGAAGTTTAAATCATGGTTTCTGAAGTTGCCTTATTGACCTTTTGATTTTATTAGGTGAATATTCACACCGACACGTTGAATGAATCTGGATTTGTCGAACAAACAATCGCAGCTTTTAAGGGAAGAACCATACACACTTACCACAGGTAAAAGGTTCATCCTGTTCTTACTATTGACATTTTATGTGTAGTGAAAAAGGTTCTTTCTTTTTGGTTCTTATCTTAAGCTATCTCTCCTGGAAGTTCCTTTGACTTTAATGATGGACTAGACAATTATATAAATGTCGTAATTTTTGTTTCGACAGTGAAGGAGCTGGAGGTGGTCATGCTCCAGATATCATTCGAGTGTGTGGTGTGAAAAATGTTCTGCCTTCATCAACTAATCCTACACGACCATTCACGATCAACACTGTAGATGAACACCTTGACATGCTGGTATAAAAAACAAATGAAATTAGTTTCTGTGACGAACACTCTCTTCCTAATCTGAATTTCCCAGCGCAGTTTCTACTTGCTGAATTCTGTGCATCGAAGAACTGTTAAAGAAAAAATGGTAGAGAAAAGATTGAATCGGGTTTTATCACTTACAGATGGTGTGCCATCATCTCGATCGCAATATTAAGGAAGATGTAGCTTTTGCGGAATCAAGGATAAGGAAGGAAACCATTGCTGCAGAAGATATTTTGCATGATATGGGGGCAATCAGTATCATATCTTCTGATTCACAGGCGATGGGTCGCATAGGAGAGGTTCTTAATGCATTTGTGTTCCTTTCTTTTTCTCCATATTACACTATAAGTGCATTAGAAGGTAGTCCAGTTTCCATTTTAATGTCGTTGTCGTCTGTTTCCCATCAATGATGATTTATTTCTTAGGACAGGAAAGCTGGTTACTGAATTTTTACCGACGGGCAGTTAAGTGAAAATTAATCCTAAACAGAGAACATGAGAATTGAAACTAAGTAGAGTATCATGTTAGCACAGAGAAGCCCTGATAGACATGGTAATCATATTGTCAGCTCATGGTAATAGGTGTTAGCTTTATAGGAGAGCATTCATCTCAGGGATTGCAAATCGTACACTAACTAGGAGAGCATTCGTGTTGTGATTCCTCAATGAAGAATGGGATGTTCTGATCCATAATCTAATTCATTTATCTATGGTGTGCTATCCTCAGGTTATCTCAAGAACGTGGCAAACTGCACATAAAATGAAGTTGGCAAGGCCGTCTCCATCAGACAATGACAACTTTCGGATCAAGCGATACATATCCAAATATACCATAAATCCAGCCATAGCAAACGGGTTTTCTCAGTACGTTGGTTCAATAGAGGTATTATAATTTTTACTGTTTTAGTTGATTAGATTTTACATGATGAGCTAGACATTACCATTAATGTGAGATCCTACCTCGGTTGGAGAGGAGAATGAAGCATTCTTTATAAGAGTGTGGAAACCTTTCTCTAGCAGATGCGTTTTAAAAATCTTGAGGGGAAGCCTGAAAGGAAAAGCTCAAAGAAGACAATATCTGCTACTGGTGGACTTGGACTGTTACAAATGATATCAGAGTCAGACACCAGGCAATGTACCAGCGAGGACGCCTAACCCCGAAGGGAGGTGGATTGTGAGATCCTACATTGATTGGAGAGAGGAACAAATGCTAGCGAGGATGCTGGGCCTCGAAGGGGGGTGGATTGTGAGATCCCACATCAGTTGAAGAGGGGAACGAAACAGTCTTTATTAAGGTGTAAAAACCTCTTTCTAGCAAACGCGTTTTAAAAACCTCTTTCTAGCAAACGCGTTTTAAAAACCTTGAGGAGAAACTCGAAATGGAAAGCCCAAAGAAAAACAATATCTGCTAGTAGTGAGCTTGTTGCCATTAATATCAGCGACGCCTATAGATTTATTAATTTTATGCTGACAGTTCGTTTGCCAGTTTGCTTTGAACATGGAAAATGCTTCCAACATTTTTATAACTTGTTCATCGACTAATTTATATTCCTTTGTATTTGATAATTAAATTTTCGGAATGATCTTATTCAGGCAGGGAAGTTGGCTGATCTTGTTCTCTGGAAGCCATCCTTTTTTGGGGCAAAACCAGAAATGGTGATCAAAGGTGGTGTAATTGCATGGGCAAACATGGGTGATCCGAATGCAAGTATTCCTACTCCCGAACCGGTAATGGGAAATTCAACGTTTGGATTCCATTTTTAAACAAGGATTACAACCATTTGGTTGCAGTTGAACCCAATTTATCATTTTTGAACTGGAATTTAATGCATTTCCCAACATCATTTCATGCGAGTTCCATCTCAATTTCAAGTCTTTTTGGAGCCATGTTTCCATAATTGATGGTTTAATCACCTTCTGCAGGTACTGATGAGGCCAATGTTTGGATCCTTTGGAAAGGCTGCAAGTACCCACTCAATTGCCTTTGTCAGCAAGGCAGCTGTTAACGTAGGAGTTAAAGCCATGTACGGACTAAAAAAGAGAGTTGAAGCTGTAGACAACATTAGGAAACTGACTAAACTTGACATGAAGTGGAATGACGCCCTTCCGCTCATCGAAGTAGATCCCGAAACGTACACGGTGAAAGCCGATGGCGAGGTTCTTACCTGCCAGCCCGCCGCTTCTGTTCCTCTTTCTCAAAATTACTTCTTTTTCTAGACTTCCCTTTTAACTCTCCATTGTCATAACTTTCCTTCTGCATTTCCAATTTTGAAGTAGGTGGTACTTTCAGAATAAGGCCACATATAAGCTTTCTGATATGGAGGAATGCCAATGGCCTCGGTTCTTTACCTCTCTCTTCAAACTATTTGTTTCTAAATAACATTACGTTTGAAACCCACAATTCTGTGTGTTTCTAATCAATTCATGCTTAGAGGCTAAACATCTCTTGAGTTGTTTGTGGATCTGTGTTTGGGCTAGCTTTTGAGTGCATTTTCTTTTAACCATTTTCTTTTTATAAAAATTGGTTAAAATAAAAACACATCGGTTAATTTGGTTTGTTATTCACTCAACATGATCAAATTATTGTTGAAGGAAGACTCTTGAACATAAAGAAATTAATAACTTAGAACCAACTTGAACCATTTTTAGAAACCTTTCTTTAATAGACGTGTTCTAAAATTATGAGGCTCACGGCGATATGTAATGGGCCCAAGTGGTAAGCTTGAGCTGTTACAAATGATATCATCTCGCTAGGTATATGTGAGTGATGGACTTGGACTGTTACAAATGGTATCAGAGCAAGATAGTATCAGAACAAGACATGGATCTCATTGGGTATATGTGAGTGGTGGAGACATTGGGCAGTGTGCCAGTGAGGACAATAGTTCGTAATGGGGTGGATCTCGCTAGGTATCTGTGAGTGGTGGGCTTGGACCATTAAAAATGGTATCAAAGCCAAATATCAGGCGGGGTGTTAGTGAGGACACTAGGTCCCTAATGGGGGGTGGATCTCGTTGGGTATCTACAAGTGGTGGACTTGGACTATTACAAATGGCATAAAAGCCAGACATCGGGTAGTATGCCAACGAGAACGTTGACCCCTAAGGAAGTGGAATGTAAGATCTCACTTCAGTTGAAGAGGGGAACAAAACATTTAATATAAGGGTACAAAAACCTCTCTCTAACAAATGCGTTTTAAAAATCATGAGATTGACGGCGCGAGTTATATGTTGTTAAAGTCGTTATTGCTTACTCTTTTTACCTTATAATATATCTTTCTTTAAAATTGCTTTCAATATATTTCTATTGCCAATATTTTTTTCAAATATTTCTTGCAAACATGACTTGAGGCTCAAGTACACACAGATATTATCTGCAAAGTCTGAACGACTGATCATTGAATTAGAACAAATATCGCACAATCGTTGTTCCGCTACTAGAGTGCGATTATAACACTGAGTGTTAATTTGATTTAATGCTACTAAACAAATTGTTGAAGAGTCTGGCGGCAGAAAATGTTGAAAAAATATATATATATTTAAATCCTTCATTTTCATCAATTAATTTAAACCATCATATTTTACAACTATTTTTTTGTTTCAGTCTATTTAAAATCAATTTACATTATCTTAGTACAATTATTTTTCGCCCCAAGTCCTAATTAAACAGCTAGCAAAAATTATCACATTTATTTCCTAATTATGTTAGACAAAAATAGAAAGAGAAAATAAGCTGAAAATTCATTTATAGTAATAAAAAATATATATTATGGTTAAATAATTTGATTTCAACAGCTTTTGATAATTAATATCTATATATATATATATAAGTTAATTAAAACCTATTCAATTAAATAAATGAGAGTAGATAAAGTTTAAAGAATAAAATATTGAAAAAATGTTGACTTAAATATTAGAAAGCTAAATTTGGAGGGCAAAGATTCACATTTCTGAATAAATAAATTATAATTTTTCGCACGCTTGGATGGCACGCTCGGTACTATCGTTTTTTTTTTTTTTTTTTTTTTTTAATTTAAAGGATTAAAATAACTTCACTTCTAGCTCTCGAACGTGAAAACACGCGCTTAAAAGCCGCGTTCTATTGGTTCAATTCGCCCAATTATTCAGCGTGACTTCACGCGCTCATTCGGGGACAGGTATAGCAGAGCTCACGAATTACGAACTAGGCAGTCAACAATAATGCATTTCTCTTCAGTATTGCACTGATCGCTTCAGTCCCCCATCTTTATTCTCCATTTTCTTCGCCAGTCGAGTTCGCCGTCGCCTTCTCCGTCGAGTCTCCGTCGCCATATCTCCACATACACTTCAAATGTTTGCAGTTTCGCCGAGCAATCATTTATACTTACAGAAAGACTTAGAGTCTTCCAGACGGCGATTTTTCTCGGTCTCCGGCGCAAGGAGCAAGTTCCGTGTCCGGAAAGCTAGGGATTCGCGATGTAGATCTTTGTTCGGCGGGAATGGATCTTCTGGACTGGTGATAAGTTGCCTGAAGAGAACTGTGGAAGCTGCTTCTCCATCGAAGAAAAGAGATGGCAATGAGTCTAAGATTTCTTCTTCTTTTTCTGGAGGAATCGAAGTCAGGGCGATGATAAAGGTCAGGAAGAAGATGAAGGAGAAGTTGACAGAGAAGATCGATGATCAGTGGGAGTATTTTATCAATGGAATTGGCCAAGGAATTTTGATTCGTCTAATTAGCGAAGAAATCGATCCTGGTTTGTGTTCGTCATGAATCAACTATTCATCTTTCTCTAATTGATTTTCCTCTTGGTTTTATGAGTTTTTATTTATTATTTTCTCTAAAAAGGATTCTGTTATGACTAATCTTGTTTATAAACGTGTGGTTTATCTCTACAATGAAACATACTTTGATCCACAATATTGTCAAAAAATATATCCTCATTTGAATTCGAGATTCGATCAAGGCCTCTTGATCCAATATTTTGATCCATAATACGTGAAAGAAATTGATTTTTGAAATTGTTTGGAATTTTTGTTTTCTGCTTTTTGTCTTTTAATTTCTTGACTTGCATCTAGTTCTTTTCTGTTGTATATTTAATTTTTTAAAATCAGATATTTTAAATATAATATTTTGATTTAATACTCTACAAGAAACAAAAGCCAATGAAAAGGGCCAAAATTAACTCCTTATGGGAACTTTTTATAAAGCAAACGTTAGAGCAAGAAGAATCGATATGAACAAAACTTTATAGGGCGATATTTTATTCAGATTTATTTTTTGTTTTCCAAATCATTTGAGAATCAAAATAAAAAATGTAGGTTGATTTTTAAAAACCGAATAAAATTTTGTTTGTTAGAATTTTTTTTAACAATAGCTGAAATTTGTTCATCTCTGTTGGCTCGGATTAGCATTTGATATGATTGTTTCTCTAATTTATGGCGCCATTTTTGTGTCTTCCGGTCGATCTTTCCCAACATTTTTCATTGATTTGAATTCTCATTTATGAACATGATCGACTGAGTTTCCTCATAATTTTCGCTTTGCTGTTGTGCAGAAACCAATTCGGCAAGAAGCATAGAATCTTCTGTGAAAGGATGGTTGCCGAAACCTGTCAACGGTGTTCACGTTTTGGACTACGCTGCTAATTTCACTGTGCCGCGTGACTTCGGCAGTCTTGGGGCTGTTCTTATCACCAATCTTCACGCGAAAGAGTTCTATCTCGTGGAAGTTGTAGTTCATGGCCTTGATGTTGACCCCATTTACTTTCCGGCGAACACCTGGATTCATTCACGGAATGATAATTCGGATAGTAGAATTATCTTCAAAAATCACGTACAATCCAAGTTTTTATTTCGATTACCAATTCCTTTCTACTTTTCATTTTGTTGAATTTGAACTGTCCTGTTCAAGAGCCGCAAATTGAATCATACTGCTATTCGACAGGCCTACTTGCCATCACAAACGCCGCCGGGCCTTCAAGATCTTCGCAGTAAAGACTTGTCGAGCATTCGGGGCAATGGACGAGGTGAAAGGAAGCCATTCGATAGAATTTATGACTACGATGTTTACAACGATTTGGGTAATCCTGATAAGAGTAAAGATTTTGCTAGGCCTGTTCTGGGTGTTGAAAATAGGCCTTATCCTCGCCGCTGTAGAACTGGTCGGCCTCCAAGTGCTTCAGGTATGATTGGGTACTTTTTAGTTTATGGAGTTTAGGATAATTCTCTAACTGCAGAATCCAAATTTTGTATTTTCTTGAATTGGCTTCCAAATAGATCCGCTTACTGAGAGAAGAATTGAAAAGCCACATCCAGTTTATGTTCCACGGGATGAAACTTTTGAGGAGATAAAGCAAAATACATTCTCTGCTGGGAGATTGAAGGCTCTGGTCCACAATCTTGTACCTTCTATTGCAGCTACATTGTCAAAATCAGACATATCCTTTAAGTGTTTTTCAGAAATTGATAAGTTGTATATCGATGGCGTTGTCTTGAACGATGAAAACCACCAAGAGAACTCTCAAAAGTTGTTTCTTAGCAATATTATGAAGCAAGTTGTTAACGCTGGTCAGACATTGTTGAAGTATGAGATCCCAGCTGTGATCAAAAGTACACTCGGTTTTCCCTTATATGTTCTGTTAACAATCTTGAAATTACTGATACTATCCAACTAGAACTTTCAATGTTCTTGTGGCTTTCAACTTGCAGGTGATAGATTTTCTTGGCTGAGGGACAACGAGTTTGCACGACAGACTCTGGCTGGTGTCAACCCAGTAAACATCGAGTGTTTGAGGGTATGGAGGATTTTTCAGGCTTTTTGTTGCACAAAACAAATCTTTTAAGTTGTTATTGATTATGAGGTGTACATCTTAGGAATTTCCAATCCGCAGCAAACTTGACCCTAATGTTTATGGGCCTCCAGAATCAGCCATTACGAAAGAATTGATAGAGAAGGAGCTTTACAATGGCATGAGTTTAGAACAGGTATTGCTATCTGCATTTTGTTGCAGTCAATGAATAGCTATCCCTACATAATTGTAACTTTCCTCTTATTCTTTAATACAGGCTATAGAAGAAAAGAGATTATTTGTACTTGATTATCATGACATTCTTTTGCCATTTATCAAGAAGATCAACGCATTGCCAGGGAGAAAAGTCTATGCCTCTAGAACAGTGTTCTTCTATTCCCAGACTGGTATCTTGAGGCCTATCGCAATTGAGCTCACACTGCCTCCAACACCTTACTCAAAAACCAATAAACATGTGTACACTCATGGCCATGATGCTACAACCCATTGGATTTGGAAGCTAGCAAAAGCTCATGTGTGCTCTGTTGACGCCGGAATCCATCAACTTGTGAATCATTGGTATTAGAAAGATGCATTTTTTTTTTTGTTCATAGCTACGTATGAGCTTTATATTGCGACTTGATCTGATTACGAACTTCACCAGTAATTTAATGAGTTTATTATCTGCATCATCCAGGTTAAGGACTCACGCAAGCATGGAGCCTTATATAATTGCAACTCATAGGCAACTGAGTTCCATGCACCCTATTTACAAGCTGCTTCATCCTCATATGCGCTACACACTGGAAATTAATGCATTGGCTCGTCAAAATCTTATAAATGGTGGGGGAATTATTGAGGCCAGTTTCCTTGGGGGTAAGTATTCCATGGAGCTAAGCTCTGCAGCATACAAGAACATGTGGCGATTTGACATGGAAGCATTACCGGCTGATCTTATTAGAAGGTAAAGGTTAAATTCACATTTATGAGCATGACATTTGTTCTAAGCACCCACAATCCCAAGTCTCAACAAGACCCAATAGGCTAGATTGATGATGATGTCATGTATCTCTTCGTTATTTCCCTATTGTCTCTTCTTAGCCACTGAATAATTTAAGCTGGGCTTAAAACTTTTAGGGGTATGGCTGTGGAGGATCCTGCAATGCCAAATGGTGTGAGACTTGTAATTGAAGATTACCCATATGCAGCAGATGGTCTCCTTATATGGTCAGCCATAAAAGAATGGGTAGAATCCTATGTTGAACACTTCTACTCGGAGCCAAATTCCATCACAAACGATGTTGAACTCCAAGCTTGGTGGAGTGAGATTAAGAACAAAGGCCATCCTGAGAAACGAAATGAACCTTGGTGGCCTATACTCAGTACTAAAGAGGACCTATCCGGCATACTCACAACAATGATTTGGGTGGCATCGGGACAGCATGCTGCAATAAACTTTGGGCAGTACCCTTTCGGAAGTTACGTGCCGAATCGTCCGACGCTAATGCGAAAGCTCATACCACAGGAGGGTGATCCCGATTATGAGAATTTTATCTCCAACCCCCAACGGAGTTTCCTATCTTCTTTGCCAACTAAACTTCAAGCAACAAAAGTGATGGCAGTTCAGGACACATTGTCAACTCATTCACCAGATGAGGAGTACTTGGGTCAAGTGAACCAAATACACAGCCACTGGATCGACGATAGAAGGGTGTTGGGGTTATTTACCAAGTTCTCATCAAGATTGGAGGAGATAGAAGAGATTATAAACAGTAGAAACAAGGATGCCCGTCTTAAAAACAGAAGTGGTGCAGGTGTTCCTCCATATGAGCTACTTCTCCCCACATCTGGTCCAGGGGTAACTGGTCGTGGAATCCCCAACAGCATATCTATCTAAAAACAGTTTTCAGATTTATGATCTGGGTTTTGTTTATCCAACTATATGCTTCCCTATGGTGCTTGGAATTCAGAGATATTTAGTTCATTATAAATTTGTAGAGTGAGGGTAACATAATGATAATAAGAGGAGGATTTACACGCCATTAAACCTTAATCTCCATAGTTAGAAGATAAATGTGATATTTGTTTTGAAATTTTCAGGTGAGGTGAATTGGTAAGACAAGGAATCTCTTGTTAACAGGAGTCATTTCACCCCACCATCCTTGGAAGTTGTATTTATAATTTGAATTGTGACAGTGAATCGGACAAGAAAACCGACCATCACGGGTTAAGAGTTTCTTGGACTTTTAAAGAAGAGGGACATAAGAACATAATTTTTTTTTTATCTTTGTTTATAAATTTTCGCCCTCGATGGACTAAACAAATAATACTGATGCCCATAATAATAATAATAATACACTTTATAGAATATGTTTTAAAAAGAGACTTACATGAAGGATAAATTCTAAATTTATTCTCTTAATATCAATTTAGACTCAAAATGTTCAATGTCATTAAGCTACTAGGCCAATCAACTTATTCGGTTTCTGTTTTTGTATTGTAGAACTTCGGATACTAAACGAAAAGAAGTCAGTGGCTCGTTGAGACAACCAATTATATTTACGAAAATAAGATAGCATATGCAATTGGTGTGTCATTCACGAACTTCATCAATACATCAATTTACTAAACAGATGTAGATGCAAAACAACGCGAATAAAATAAGATCACATATTAAATAGAATAAGATCACATCATCTGTATAAAAAACCTCTTCAATTGTAGATTGGGATAGCATTTTTTTTTATTTTTATACCAAACATATGGATTGTAGATTGGTCCTTCGGAAAATATTCACCGGTGCCTTCATCTTGGTGTTAGAACTTAGAAGGAAAGTGAAAATACTGAATATAGAAGTTGTAGGAACAGTACCTTAAAGGAAGAAAATACTTAAGCTACAAATCATTTTAATAAAGCCTTAATCTCTAGTATCAGATAAATGATCAATTTACCATAACAATCAATTTGCATTCCCCAGCAACATTATATAACCAGTCAGTAATTATTATTATTATTTTTTTTTACCACACCAGAGACGGGTCTGTAAAGCCAAAATTTTGGTTGGGGTAAGTCTAAATCCAATTTTCCACCCATGACGTCCGACAATAGAATGATCTTAACTAAGGCAGACAGCCATGGCAAATTTCAACACTTGTAAGCCAACGATTAAAATGCTTGCTTGTAAGAAAACCTCTTCCAAACAGCACAATCAGCTTAATAGTGTCTGGTTAGCCATACTTTTCAGTATTACAGATCCAAATAACCTCTTCCATTCAAAGAAGAAAACTGTCGAGAAAATATTTAGGAACTTGAAAAACATGCAAACAAAAACAAACTTTGCATTTAGTACCTCAAGTGTGCGAATCAACAACTAAGTTAATAACTTCAAGAGCAATGCAGGTAAGCTCCTCAACCTGCTGTTAGCTTTGATACTGCAGTGACATTTGCAGAAAAATCACCACATTTCTTTGAAGTGTGGTGATACTTCTCAACAAGCTAATATGCATACTAATCTTTCAACACACAAACAAACAACTTGAAGCTTCTTGTATCCATGTGGCCACAACCAAATAATTACATCAAGAGGCAGTATGCAACAGCAACGCCCATGCAGATCATAAACAAACATCTATTTCTTGACTAGTAGTAAAGATTATATAACATACCAAAATGCACGTTCTTGTCCCTGCACTAACAGATGATATACATCATAGAGCATACAGGCTGAATAAAATTTCTCTGTTTATCCAGGGGAGACATTTTTTTTTTCCAAAAGCAAACTGTTAAGAATTTCAATGATAACGGTTGGGTAGTTTGGTGCCACAGATAGATTGATACATGATCTTCAGTGGCTTTCTTTTAGCATTGAAATTTTCCTCCAATGGCACCCACCAATAATTTTTACTTTAACATACCCAGAGGAAATCGTCACTTAAATCACCAATGACCAAGCACTAATTATATTTTGAAAGAACATCTCCATAAAAAAAAGGTTGGAGCCATTCAGGGATTTCTTCTAAAACTATCAACAGTCCTAGCTATAGAACCCAGATAAAATAAACCAATGGGGGGAGAAGAACAAAATAAACCAGACTTAAAAAGAAAGGCCTACTTGGTTGATCAAAGAATTTAGCCTAAGCAATGAAGTTGAAATGACCAACAACACTACGAGATGAATTTACCAAAAACATGCACACAACAAGAGACTGATAAAGAAAGCTTCAAAACATAATCCTCATCCTTGTAAGGCTTTTGCAATTAATTAATTACCTTTGAAAAACTATCGTAACTGTCAAACTCTTCATCAACGAGAAGCAAAGACCGCCCTCCCCTTCCCACCAACCATCTTTTGCAAACACAATTCAAATATTAAAAGGAGATAAATTTGAACTATGTAGGCAGTAAAAATCCAAGGAAATTTAATATTGCAAATAAAATTTATGGCCAACAGCCTAATTTTCAATAGGAATATGTTACACAATTAGTTTCTGCTGAATCTGATTTTTTCAAGAAAACAACAATGTTCCACACCTTGCCATGCAAGCCGTGTCAATGAAGCATTTTCTATATGATGACCAGAGGAGAAGAATTGACGTTAAGCTGCAATTGATCTTCTTGACAGAAGCAAAAAAAAAAAAAAAAAAAAAAAAAAAAAAAAAAAAAAAAAAAAAAAAAAAAAAAAAAAAAATACATATCTTGAACCAAATAACCGTGAATGCCCTCTGCTAAAATAGCACTGGCAATCATCTGTCAAACACAATTCACAGCCCTCTTCCCTAACCTTAATCAGGTCCAATGGTCAAGAGTGATCAGAAAAATAACTTCAGGCAGCCTGAGCCAAATTACCAGATCCATTCTCTTAGCCAAACAAACCAGATGTGCCCAATTCCCCTTGCTGCAACTCCTTTCTGCGTTGTTCTTCTAAGGGGTCTGGACTCTTCATTACTCTCCGCAAACGCCTACAGAGATGTAAATTAACATGTCTATTGTTTAGATTAAGTTTGACAAGAAGTTAAACCACAAACTCATAAGTCTAACAGTTGTCATACCTATCCTGAGCATGTTGAGCAGGGAAAGTAGGCATGAACTCTTTCGACTTTGGAAGAGGAACTTCTGAGAACCATTCATGATTAAGAGCGGCCTCAGCTGTAATTCTCTGCATTAAGACAACAAATCTTAGTAAATAACGAAATTGGATGAGAAAATCACAAGCAGCTGATCAGATAATTACCTTCTCAGGATCGTAAGTTAGAAGTTTGTTCAACAAATCAAATCCTGAATCAGAAAGAACTGGCGAACCGGTAAATGATGTCGCCGGGAATTTCTTACGCAATAAGTTGTACCTGAAAGGAACATGTCCGTGGTTAAAACGTACTATGAAAGAAAAGTAACTGGAAGGTCCCCAAATGAGGCCAGATAGCCAGACCAGAATCACCCAAAGCTGGAAGCCTGGGAAAACAGTGGAAAAAAAATAAGAAAAATGTGATAGATAAACACAGATTAAGTAACATCAACAATACTTACTGGTGCTTAACAAAGTTGACCCTTACTCCTGGAAGTTTCGAAAACCCAGGCCAAATCGTTTCATTGGGTGTGCCTAGAGTTCGAAATATCTGCAAGGTTCAAGGTAAGGGCATAATAAGCTTGCAAGCATAGCAACTATCTAGAATGTGCATTCGCTGTAATATAATATATAATTTTACCTTGTCAAGCTGATCAACTTCAGTTTTTCCATTAAACAGTGGTTGCTTTGATAATAGTTCAGCCATAATACAACCTAACGACCACATGTCAATAGCTGTTGAATACTGTCTTGTTCCCAATAGAAGTTCAGGTGCCCTGACAATATGCATGAAAAAGTTAAAGAAAATAAAACATAGAACATTCTTTTGTTTACCGGACAGCAAATTTTAACAAGCCTTGTGCCATACATCTCTAACATACTCCGGTATATTAATGCCTCCAATGGTATAAAGGAGAATAGGAGAGTTGATGTTAGAATAGTCATGAATGCAAGAAAAATGCAACTAACCTGTACCAAAGAGTAACAACCATATGTGTATATGTTTTCAAGGGGCTCCCATATTGCCGAGCTAGTCCAAAATCGCAGATCTTCAATTCTCCCTGATTATTCAAAAGTAAATTTGATGTCTTTAAGTCCCTATGAAGCACCCAATTATCGTGAAGGTATTTAACACCCTCCAGTAACTGAAGCATCAGACATTTTACTTCACTTTGACTATATGGCTGTTTTATTGTCTCCATGAGTGCTTTTAGATCATGCTCCATGTACTCCATTACCATAAAAATGCTATCAAGACTACTGCCCACCACCACTTCTTTTACATCAACAATTGAAGGGTGATGAAAAGACAGGAGAATGTTTATTTCCCTCAAAGAAGTCATGGGAAAACCTTCTCGTTCCTTTTCCATTTTCACCTTCTTCAATGCAACTATTTCCCCCGACTTTTTGTCTCTAGCTCTATATACAACACCATAAGTTCCTTCATCAATCTTGTTCAATCTTTCAAATTCATCAACACTTCTACAGCCTTGAAGCATATTTACACTTCGGGGAGGAGGGACACTAGGCTCGGCTTCCTCGGGAGCTTCTATCTCATCCTCAGAATCAGTATCTAACCGGCTACTGCTAGTATCCATTCTACGAATTTCATCACCAAGATCCGTGCCTTCATCTTTCTCAGAATCATTACCAAGGTAATGATTTGCACTTGATGATCGAGACCGATCACCACGTTCTGCCGATTCAGATGATCTTGTCCCTGCTTCAGAGCCTTGTCTCATTATCTCCCCAATCTCTGGAGTTAATGATTTTCTTTGTACTCTGATGCCTTCCAATGACTCAGAAATTGGTGTTGTCTTCCGCCTTTTAGGCATTTCTTCGTCTAAAATTTCACCTACATTGCCAGGAGAGTTATTACCAGCAGCCCATCTCGAGGATGAAATGTTTCTTGTTGGAACATAATCATCATCCCCAAAATTTTCTGCTTCAAGATCAGCCTGCCATGGTTTCCTATGTGAATCAGAAGAAGGCATCATTGGTGAACCACTTGCGGGGAATTCATCTGATCCAAGGCCCCCAACAGAAGGTTCAACAAGAGAGGAAGGTAGCAAGCACTCGGGATCACTACTCCTACCAGCCTCAGCAGGTATGGCATCAAGAGTATCCAACATTGCATTAGGAGATTCCCTCTTCTCCTTCGGTGGCGACAGAGGTGAAGCTGTCACAGCCTTGGCGACCTTATTTCTTGTGGAAATAGTCTCTTCCTTTTCGTCTCTGTCCCAAACTATTGGTGAAAACTTCCTCTTCTTCTCTGGTGGAGAACGAATCCCATTCTCCACCACCTTTGCAGACTCGTTAATTTTAAATGGCAATCCGGACTCAGTGGCATCATCGGATCCACTCTCACTGGATAACTCGCCCGGCTCCCTATCCATTGTCCTGACAAGCAAAACCTTTTGCTTCACTCCGTGAGAAATAATACCACCACCGCTGCTGCCAGAGACCCTAATTCTGTCTCTAACATCCCGGCCTCGACTCTTATTGTTTTCAGGGTTACCGCTCCGCCCTCGTTCATATCCTTCTTTCCCATTCACAACGTCAACACTAGAATCCCGGTCCTTCATATCATAGTCGCGATAACCCCCCATTCTCCCCGCTGCCATCGAAATACCAAACCCCACCCCGATGGTTCCTAAAGTAAACCCTAAATCCCCAATTTTTACAATAAGAACATCTAGAAACCGGCCAGAAAAAATCGAGTCGAAACCCTAAATCCAAAAAAAAAATTCAGATCGCGAATAGAATCGCGAAGTGAACAAAAAACGAAGTAAACCCCATAAAAGACTCGTAAAATTTTCAACGAATCTCGCAGTATAAACGAAAAGTCGAAGAGCGATTCGAGGTTGAGAAATATACCCTTCAAATCGATTGCGCGAACTAAAAATTGACCTAGAGGCTATTGAACCCTAGCCTCAACCTCTAATCTGGACAGTCGTATTGGATGAACAGCGGAATCAATCGAAGAGAAATCCTGCAAGCGAGCGAAGTCCTAGATGAGCGCGCAGAGAACCCTAGTCAATCGAAGACGAAACGACCATGGAGTCAGATGGAGAAATGGGGAAAGTGGTGATTCCGAGTATACAATACACGTAACCACATGGACGGTCTGGTTCAGTGCATTTGGTGGCTTTTTTATATATTATTAATTTATTAATGGATCTATGAAATCGGATTTCAAATGTAAATTCATTTCATTAAATTTTAGCCGCGAAAATTTGTTTTCCAAAAATAAAAACGAGACATTTTTTTAAATTATTTTCAAACGCTTAATTAAAATTTATAACTTAATATTTTAGAAAATTAACTTATAAATAGTTTTTGACCGGGTGGAGGGAAAATAATTATGAAATTAAATATAAATAAAATAAGGTAAATATAGGTATATGTAATTGTATCAGGATAAATATATATACTTCATAATTAATATTAAATTTGAATTCGTTTGCTGTATATGATATAATTCTATGAGATATTTGAACTAATTAAATTCATAAAATTTTTATTATTTCAACCGAATTTTCACGTAATAAACTAATATATTCTCACAATTTATCCGATCATTTTTATTGTGTTTGGCAAATAAATATAAAATATTTATAATAGATGGATGTCAAATTTTAGGAGTGACTATAATTTTTTTTAGAGTAATTTCGGATCTATGGGATAATTTCAAACAAAAACCAAGGCAAACCGGGCCAACCATGCAAGCTCGAGAACTTGAAACCAAAACACGACACCGGACCCAAGCACAATTAGGTAACACCCGACAGAGTGTGTTTATATGATCGATAATCCAACTAAATTAAACTATCCAATCCAAATCATAAAGATTAGACGAGTTAGTTTTTTTTTTTTTTTCTTTCCTTGTATTGGCAAAAGTTCGATGGATTCTAATTTTGAAGGATGGTAGTCTAACGGGCTTTCGTCTTTCAAAGCAGCTAAAGGTCGTTGGTCAGGTAAAGGCTGACCAAGCCAATGATGCCTTCAGGTGTGTTAAGAGTCAGGTGAACGCCACCGCCACTGTTACCAATTGTACTAAGATATTGATCATTAAACACTGAAGTAAGAATTTAATACTCTAATCTTTTGATTAAGAATATAATGTTTTTAATTATTTGCATTATGCTTAGGTTAATCAGAACATTCATAAGATACATTTTTTTCCTAACCCCACATATGATATAAACTATGGATATGACACCAATTTTGTTGGGTCGATCTCGGGCTCAACAAACAATCTAATCGAACCAACAATACGTACATTCAATCGGTTCGTTCGGTTCGATTTAGTTCGGTTTGGTCGGCTTTAATAAGCAGGGCGAGGTGGGGCGAGGGCGACGGCTAGAGCTAGATACAGCAGGCGGCGACTACTCAATGGTGAGTGCTGCTACCAACAGAGAGAAGGTAGCTTGAAGGAGAAGGAAGAAGGCAAATGACCAGTGCGCCTCACATAATCAGCTTTCTCCGAAGTCTTTACGGCCTTTTCGTTCAGTTTGGCCTCTGCATTTGCTCGCTTCTCCTCCGCCATTCTTCTCGTGGCCGCAAGCTTATTCCTCAGCTTCTCCTGCGCTCGACTCTTCATTCTCTCCGCTTTCACCTGTCATCGGTAAATTTTGTTTCCACATTCAAATTCATTCATTATTTCTATCACCGATTTATGGAGTTTTTGCACTTAATTACCTCCATTTTTCTCATCTCCGTCTCTGCTTTTCGCTTCTCGTGGTTTTCCCACGCTTGTATCTTCACTTCTTCGCGCTTAAATCTGCCATTGTTGGATGTTTGAATGGATGGGAGTTTAGATGATAATATGTAAGATTCTAGGACCAAATTTTTAGCTTAATTTGATTGAAAATTTCTCGGCGGAATAGAGTCGTGGAGGAAGATTACCTGGCCATGTATTTGGCTCGTTCCGCTTCGTCCCAAGCCATTGCTCGGGTTTCTAGCGAGTTCATCTTTTTCGATTCATCAGAATCCCGATTATTCTCAACTAATTTTCCGGCATTCGATTCTTCTCCACTTTGATTTGCGTTCGATTCCTCTCTGCCATCACTAGACTGAATCCTCGATCGAGAGATTTCAGTAGCTTGCTTCACTCGATCGTAACTCGCTGGAGTTGACGATCCAGACGATATAGGGCTACGCACTGCCGGTGTCGTGGCTCGAATCGGCGTCGCTGTTCTCGAAGGTTCTTGGCTCGCAATCGGAGTCATCTCTGTTCCCATATCCCTCACGCATATGGACCTTAAGCCCGGCGGCGCTGGATTCGCAATCTGTTTATTTATTCGCCAAATTGAATCCTCATAATCGACCTTTTTTGTTTCTTCTTCGTATCGATTCGCCATTGCAGAAACGGAGCATCCGCGTTTCTGTTGTTCTTCTTCTTCATCGTTGCTCGAATAGTCCTGCTCCTTCTGTGGCACCGGAGCTATAAGCCTCAAATCGTCTGCGTTCGAGTTTCTCGGCGTGGTTTTCGCTGGATTCTTTTCTCCCCCTTTTGATAATCCAACAAGCCATTTTTGGGCGTCGTCCCATTTCGATGGTGTTGGTTTTCCTAACGCTGTACGGTGATGTGAAGCTCGTTTGCCTCCATTTCCTTTCTGAAACTCGAAGCTTATTGCGCTGCCCGAGAACTCCCGAATTGGCTCGTGATTGTAGCAGATTTTATCCTCAACAGGCTTCATTATCTGTCTCTTTTCTTAGCTAACTGCGCTTCTAATCTAGAAAACTTCTGCAAAATCTGCACAGGTTCCGATCTTCTGCTTAGATCTAAACCCTAATTTAAGATCCATTTTCTTTCCCCATAGTGTAGAAACAGAGCAAAAGGGGCAGAAGATTAGATACAGAATGGGTACTGAAAATTGAAGCTTCAAAAATGGAGTAAAGCTTCAAATGGCAATAATGTCAGGTGAGTTTGTATAGCTAAAGAAAGCAAATAGAGAGAAAGCGATTTCTCAAAAGCCATGGGAGTTCGGGAAGTTGCAGAGTTGAAGTTGATGAAGATAATGTTTTGAGATCCCCATTGAAGGTATTAAAAAAAAAAAAAAACTGTATGGATCAATGGAAAATATGGTAAAAAAAAAAGAAAATTAATAAAATATTTTTGTGGAAATCAATGGAATTTTATATACGGTTGTCCTAACGGTTACTAGCAGAAGATGGAACTATGGTTGACACGTGGACGGTGGAGATTGACAACGTGTCAGTTGTTCAGAAGAGTGAAATTTGATAATTGAAGTTTAATGTGGTGGTGGGGGGAGTTTCTGACCCTTTCACATGGCCGTGATGGGCCAAACTTATGAGATCTGAGCCGTACATTTCTTTTTGTAACTTTCTGGATTAAGAATTTATTAAATTACGACTTAACTAGATCTTTTATGGGAATAAGAGCGAATCAAATGATGCCACGTCGTATTATTGTCACGTTTCTGAGCTTTAAAGGAATTGGGCCGGACCAGAAATGGACCATATAGGTAATGGGCTTTGTTAGGAAACTGAAAGCCCAAATATGCATTGCATCGGGTCGGACAGTATTCCTCTAAACGGATTTGAACGACTTGTCGTTCAATTACAATAGTACTCAAGCAAATCAAATTCCTCGTACGGCGACTTGTTTCGTTTCATATTCTTATTTATTTTGGTTATTAACTTTAATGACATGCACGACAATTTTATCTCATATTTTTATTTATTTGATTTATATATGAGAATTAAAATTATTATATCTATATAAACACTTATCTAACATTGTTTGTTATTATCATTTTGTATTTATCGAAAGATAATTGGGATGAATTTTGTAAGAGAGACTGTGTAAACACTCTGATGATTAGCTACTACCTGTGGTGTGGATGTAGAAGAATTTCTTCTCTCCAAATCATCTTTATGTCACTTTGTTGAATTTTTATTTGTAGGTGTGTGAGTGCAATCGATCTTACTTCCGCTTCCGCTACAACAATTAGGTAGCAGAACATTTTAGTTGTGGCATTTGAGTACAACCAGTGGTATCAAAACATTTTGATTGTGGCATTAGGGTACAACAAGCGATATCAGAGTATTTTTTGGCGGTGGCATTTCAAGAGGATGAAGGCTGCCTAACATGAATGTGAGGTCCGGGGTTGAGTCAAGCAGCAATGAAGAACTTCATTGATGTTCAAGAAACTCGGCAATTACCAACATCACCATTGTGGTGGAACGTCTGTCAGATGACCGACAAAGGAGCGATCCTAGTTTGGCCCAATGAGCGTATTGGTTGGAGAGTTCAGTCTGGTATTTCTGGTGATCCGAGCACATAATTGAGAAGAGTTTGATTATTCTTTTCTATTCTTTAGGGGGTTTTACTTTGTTGTCTTCCACAACATGACTGGTTTTGGGACTCTCATAGAAAGTGCAGTACCTTTTACCATTGGCGTATTTTATTGGGAACTTGAGGGTCGTTGCAGAATGAAATAAACTATACTCTTCATAAAGTTCACCATTGTACCATTTTAACTTTAACAATAAAGATCACTAGTTATACGATTCGTAGACATGATAACGTTCTTTAAGTACACATATTATTGTGAATGATCGCTTCCACAATTTGCTGTTGGATGCTAATAGACCTCAATTAAATGGAATAAGATATGATCATTATACCAGCGACTTATTGCAACCGTCTAGAATGGTCATACATCCTAAAACCTTATTCACACAGCGAATAAAGGCCGCATGGAAGGGGCAGTCAGCTGGATCAGCCTAGACATCCAAGGATGCACACTACGCAAGACTTGTGCGAGTCGACAAGTGAAGTACATTTAGTTTGTCTTTTGGCAGAACCTAGAAAATTAGCTGGTGACAAACGATGGACTTTCTATCCATAAAGTAATAATATAATCATGAATTATGTTATTGTGGGAACGGAGAAGTAAGATTGAGAAGGGTAATGACAGTCACAGAAATGAATTTTTTCTTGAACATTCTAGTAGAAAATAGCCTTCTCCCTTTTCATCCAGAATTAGTCGAGTAGTAACCAGAGTTGGAAGACTACATGAATCAGAATTGAGTCGAAGCAAATGCTATTAGAGCTATCTGTTAAGGATATTTAGTAATAAATTATAGTTTACCATGTATACTATATT